CCACACCAACACGTCCACGCCCACGCCCACGCCCATGCACACACACACAGAGAGAGCACGTGGCTCAAATATTGAAAGATGGCCGACACCCGGGCCGCCGCCATTTTGTTTTCGAGGCGCTGATTTGCTTGCTCTTCTACTCCACAGATTTTGTTTAATTGTTTTCACGCTCTTTACGATTATTGCAACGGTAACCGTGCTGCTCTCAGCTCCGCACATAATCGTGCAATAAGGACGCTCAATTTAGACAATTAAGCTACGGATACGGATACGGAAGCGCATACACCTAGCACACACACGCACACACACACGCGGATTAGATACGCCGGAGTGCGGAGTCTGTGTGTTAGGCGAGGGAGATGCATAGTTAAGTTCTTTTTCAAAAACCAAACCAACAAAAAACTAGCGAAGCTGCTTTGAAACCAAGCAAAAGCGAAGAAACAAATGGAAAAACCGAAAAAAAAAATTGTTAATTACATTTTTAAGTCAAAAACAAAACAAAAAAAGAGCAAAGGAAATTTCGCAAAAAAAAATAGAGAAACAAAATCATATACTAAACCAAAATATTTTATGGAGAAACCAAACAAAAAAGCAAAAATTACTGCCGTACAAGAAACCGAATAAATAAGAGAGAAAACAAAAGTGTTAAGTAAGCTACACATACACACTGACAGACACACTAACACGAACAAAATTATAACAGTTAAGTAAACAAAAAGCAAAAGCAAACCAAAAATTTGCATAGGGATGGAGTAGGAGCCAATGGGCGGAGAGGAGGAGCACAATATGGATGGGAGGAACAACAAAGAAACATCGCGGCAAAGGACACACACAAAAGCTACATACACACACAACTGCACACACATGTATAAGTTATAAGTTAATTAACACGTTGAGTTGCTATAATTTATGTAAGATGAACAGACGACAGACACAGACATAGGATACTATATAGAGCCACACACCAGATACTACACAAACAAAAACACATAAGATATATGATATATATATATATATAAGAGATTGTTCCTATGAGACATTAGATATGTATTTAAAATGGCAACACACCCACATAACACCCACACACACTCAGCGACAGAGACGGAGACAGAGACAGAGACACACAGACACTGAAGCACTTAATTGACAAATGCAAAAACAAGGGAAAGGAACAACTTATTTGTAGGCGAGTGTAGGCATCAGAAGATTGACTTATTGGCCTTATTTATCCTTTGTTTCTCTCAGTTTACTTCACTATATTTTGTGTCTCTTAGTTTTGATTTTTGGGATCACGTGGACCAACAATATTTTGTTTGATTTCCTTCATTCAAATTTTGCAAACAAAATATGATCCCAGTGAAAAAACTTGAAGAGTCTTATTTTCGTTCTTTATAAAAATCGTACATCTTATGTTGTATCTTTTTTTTTGGTGCGGGCTTTGAGAGTGGAGCGTAGATTGAAAAGTGAAAAGTGAGGGATAGCTAAGTGTAACATGGTAACAAACTGACACATAATAATGGATACAAACAAACAAAAATATATAAATACATATATATTGAATAGTGAATTGAATTAATTTTTAAAAGGCGCATTCACGAACCCTTGGAGCAGGAGTACGAGTATATGTTCGTTGAACGAAATGTTTTTAGAAAATTTATTGTTGAAATATTGTAGCAAATCGAAAATACCGAAAATGAAAATGAAAATGAGCGAACCGAATGCAAATGCAAAAGCAAAACCAAACCGAGTTATAGTCAGCAATTAATTAGTCAAAGTAATAATTACAATGAAACACAAAGCAGAAAGAAAGCAGAAAGCAAACTCCAAGATAGCAATACAAGATGAACAGGTGTATATATATTTTATGACACATATATCACCGCATATATACATACATAAATATACATATATAAATAGATATATTTTTAATAAAACCAATACGGAAACGAGCAAAACTACAGACACTAGGCAGAAGCAATTACAGAAGCAAAGGCAGCGCAAGATCAGAAAAGAACAGAACCCCACTAAGCCAACCAACCAGATCAACAGCCCAACCCAATCGCATCCAAGAAATCACAATTTTGTTGGAAGTTTTCGCATAGTTTTCGAATCGAGTTCTCTTCCCCAATGTGTTCCTAGATACGAGCTTCAAATTTCGTCTACTTTACTCTGCTCTATCCAATCTAATCCAATCGAATCAAATCGAATCAAATCGATTCGAAACGATCTCCGATCTCCCCTCAAACACAAAGCAAAACAGTGATATTTACGGTATAGTCCCCAATGAACGAACTCGTACACGAACACTCTTTCCGGAACCCACCTACGAAACCTATTAATGTGAATGTTTTCTACACAAAAACAAAAATCAATGATCAATGAAAAACCTACCTCCTTGTTGAAAAAAATGAAACGATAACAAACGGATCCGATGGATGGGATCGATGATTAGAAGAAGAAGCAACACTGCCGTATTAATCGCACTCCTCTGTCTTCCCCTTGAGTAAAACACCCCCCTCTCTCTCACACACTCTCTTTCCGGAATAGTATTTTATGTGTTGTCCTATCCGAGAGAATTTCTAACAGAATTGTGTGACGAACCTCGAACCTCGAACCACGAACCACTTTTGATAGCCAGACGAAAAGTTTACTTAAAGGAAATGAAATCAGCTCACCCCCGAACACAGTCTAGGAAACGGAACGGAACCCCATTGAGTGCTGGAATCAATTGAAGGAACTGCAGATCTAAGCGTTATATGTGTATACACTCACTTTGTATGTTTTATTTGCATTTACGAGTACATTTGATATTTGATATGAGAAGATTTTTACTTACGCCCCGAGCGATGCGTAATCCTACCGATAACTGCTCTGTCCCCCATGAGGTTGTTGTTTATGGATTGTTTATCGTCAAGATCGATTTCAAATTTAAATTCTAACTGAAATTGATATCCTGCGTTGACGCATAAGAATACGTGCACGATACGATATCGAATGAGAATCAGAATCAGATAAAGTTGGATATGAAAATGCAGATGCAAATGCAGATGCAGGTGCAGATAAGATGGAGACGGAGACGGAGATAGTGTGTGCATTTTAAATTTAGTTTTTTTATAATTAATTTAGTGCTAATCTTTGAGCAGCTAGGCGCGTAATTAGAACTATGTATATGTGTATGGATGTCTTTTTGATAAAAAGAAGCTATTTTAAAAAGCAAACCATTTTCTACACTCTTTAAAAGATTGAACTCTACATGTACGAGAATATGTATAATAAAAATAATAATAATATAGCATTAACTAGGCAATTATAAACCAAATGAAGGCGATGACGAAGACGATTACGATGACGATGGGGGCAAGGAACTATAAACTAAGCGTCCTACATTAGGAGAGGGCTACTAACGCAAAAACCCAAAATGAAAAGAAAAGAAAAAGAAATTGATGGAAAAACAAAAACGATAAACGAATTTAAAATTGAAAAGATTGTAGTCAAGGAAAATGTTTTTCATTTGAAAACTCTACTACTTACTTACTACTTACTTACTTTGCAAGTAATAACTAATTTCCTCTGATCAGAGTTACACACGCAATACGCAAATTAAGAAAAACGGTTGGTACACGCCCATGCCCACGCCCACGCCCATGCCCATGCCCACAAACACATGCATAAACAGGCCACATACTCAAACAATCAAAACCCACACAAAATCATGGAAACATTCGAGTTGTTCGTATAACAAAATAATAAAGAATGCAGAAAACCGAAGAAATCCGATTTTTGTTTCAATTCCGCATGATCATGCCGAGAAGAGCAATTAAAACAGTTCAACAACAATAAATAGCGCATAAACAAACCAATTCGATCGGGACATTTTTTAAACCAAGCAAATATATTTAAAATTAGCATTTAACTAAAAGACAACAAAAAACTTAGGCTATAAACTGCAAATGTTAAGCACCAAACTCACCCAACCTAAGGCTTCCAAGTCCCCAGAACCCCAGTCCACATCCGTACCGTACCCGTGCCCGCGCCCGAGCCCGAGACCAACCCCAATCCAATGCCAAAAGAACCCCTCCAAGTCTAACTACCAATTCAATTTAAATAGCTAATTGCATAATTATTAAACCGTTACCGCAATTTCTGTCGAATGCCAAAAGCAAAAGTAAGAAAAAACAAAAACATAAAACTTCCAACTAATTATGCATGTAATGAAATGGCAAAACAGAAAGGAAACCCAAAAAATTAGCAAAAGTCTGTTGTCGATAAGTATTATTGACAGACAAATAACTTTCGTCACATTGACGATAATAATTAATTATAAGGCGAAAACAAAGGAATTAAATGATTTAAATAATAAACAAATTAATATTAAAAATCGAGAGAAATGATTGCTACAAACACACACAAAACTGAATAAAAATTTATTTTGAAAAGAGAAATACCATCAAAGCTTGTTTTCTTGTTTAGTTGATTTTCAAACATGATTTCAAATTTAAGCGCCGTTAAGTGTCTATCAATTCCATTTTGTTGCTGTAGCTTCATTAAAAATTAGTTCGTGTAACTATCAACAGGCGGCGCAAAAAGGAATCGTTGCTGTGTAATAAATTGAGCAAATGTAACAGTTCAAAAGTCTCGGTATATTTTGTCAATTTCATTAATCTATTTTTTCAAAGGTAAATTTCCATACGCAGGTTTTTTGAATTTTCGCTCACAAATCGTACTTATGTGTATCATTTATTCCAATATATTGCATTTAAATCCTTTTCGCCCATTTACTTTCAAAACAATTTCTATTTGGCGCTTAAGTTTTGTAGGACTGTTTTGGGATTTTCTCTGATGATTTTTCCAGTATATATTACAGTCAGTAATATTACGGTATATTTTGGTATATTTCTGAGGGTCGGACCACTAACCATACAGTATATATACTGTGGTCGGACGCTATATTTTAACGATAAATCGATTAAACGATAAAATAAACAGGTGAAGAACGCAGATCCGCGGGGTTTAATGATATTTGATATCTGTTGCACAATTAATAATGGACCTGCGTAAGTTGTGCAGAATTTGCTTTGACGGCAGCGCAGACGTTGACATCACGGAGCACCGAACCAGCGACTGGCCGGAACACACAGTCCTCGAGATGATGGACGCCACATTCCAAGAGGTAATACAGCAAAACTAAGACACAATCGAACTAATGGCGTCTTCTTCAGAATATGAATCTGACAGATGAGCTGGCAATGATATGCAAGCCATGCCTGGACAGTTTCATGCAGATCTATGCATTCTCCACGAAGCTGAAAGTCGCCAATCAACAACTGCTCGAACTATTCGCCCAGGCCCAGGAAGGAGAGATGTATGTGGTACACGAAGGGGATACAATCGAGGAAGAATGCTCCTTCCTGGAGCCAGAGCCAGATACAGAGACGGAGACAATAGTGCAAGCAGATGCACTGGACTTCGCGCCCATAGACGAGGGTGCAGACTTAATAGACGAGTGTCCGGAGATAATAGACGAGAGTTCAGAGAAAATAGACGGGAATCCAAAGATAATGGACGAGTATCCAGATCTAATAGACGAATGTTCAGAGATAATGGAAGAGTTTCAGTCTATCCCATCACAGAAGCTGGCGAATCAAGATTCGTTGATTGTCTCGGAGTTCCTACCAGTCACCACTAGTAAGCCCCTGGCCGAAGGAACCTCCGACGGTGGTCTGCAGCTGCAGCAGTGGACAGTGGATTATGCGGCCGTCGAACTGAAGCACAACGACCTGGATGATTACAACGAGACGAATCGCCGCCTCCACGTGGAGCCGAGCGGCAGTCAGGCCATCTACAAGTGCAAGTACTGCACGCATGCCTTCGCCTCTTCCCAGTACCTGAAGACCCATGTCCGCAAATCGCACGTCTGCAAGTACTGCACCAGCGCCTTCGCCAAGTTCAAGGATCTCAACGACCATATTCGCAACAAGCACCCGAACCACCCGTGTGTGGTCTGCCCAAAAATCTTCACCACCAGCAGAGGCCTCCGAGCCCACCTAAAGCGTGTGCATGGCGTCCAGCTGCCCGCTCAAGTGTCACTCTTGGACTACACACCAGCGAGCAGGAAGAAGTATTATCCAGAATAAAATTAGTTTATTTGCCAAAAGATTTGTGACTTTTCCCTCACGGGATCCCCCTTCTCTTGGTCCGCCCCAGCAATGTACATGGGCGTGAACTCCCTGTAGGCTATGCAAACGCGTCGCTCCACCACATCCTCGCGCAGCACAGAATGCTCAAATTGATAGCGCGCCGGCCCGTACAGAACAATCAGCGAGAGGCTAGAGGGAAAGAGACTTTAGCATACAAAGGGAACCATGAAATCGAGTGGCTTACTTGGGCATGGGTATGCGGAGCACCTTTCCCTTGTATGCCGAGAGCCGTTCCTCGGGCAGCAGTGGCTCCAGCAGCTCATTCTCGTAGGCGGCCACCAAATCGAGGTTGTACTTGCCCGCCTGCTGCTCTTCATAGACTGTGAGAGTGAGGACGGCATCGCCAAGGCAGTTGACTGTCACCACACGCTCGCCCCAAATCCAGCAGTCGTCCACATGTGGATCTATGCTGGCCCCCTTGCTCGGCTCGTACTCCAGGGAGCACTGCTCGATGGTCTGGAAGTTACGCAACAGCGGCACCTCATCGAATCGGCGTTGAACGTACTCCGTGCTCTTTGGGAAGCCGGCGAAGGTGCCCACCTGCAGCTTGCGCTTTTTGAAGTTCGTCTTGGGCCCAAAGTTCTGCTTGCGACGGCCGCTCTGGGAGATGTCCCAGCGCAACGCATCCAATTCCGTCATCAACTGCGAGCCCTCATCCTTGCTGAGGAACTGCTCCTGCACGAGAACCCCTGGCATAAGGAGACCCTTGGCCTTGTCATGCTGCTGGTGATCCGCCTGAACCGCAGTAGTGTCCCAGCCGGAGTATAGACGTTCGCATTGAACGCAGTATGACCAAGGCTCCAGTTGCTGGAACTGTTCCTGCAGCGAGGGTTTGGCTATTTGGAAGTCCTTCTCGCAACTCAGGCATGTGCGCACACCTTTGCAGCCGCATGGTCGAATTGTGTTCATTTTTTTTTAACACAAAAAATTGTAAATAAGTCCGCTCAATCAGCTGTTTTGCCAGTGTTGGACAATTATCGATTGTGAACATAATTCCATCGATAGTGAGCCACATTCAATACGATAGTACTATCGAATATTTCACCACATGGCGCGTTTCAGGTGAAAGATATTGTGGGGTGTTTTGGAAGAAAAAAGGAAGGATTTTATCCAAGTTGTTCACCTGTTGAAATAGAAGGGGACTATGAGGGCAAACTTCGTTTTTTCACCGATATACTCACGGTATATTTCGGTATATTTTGCGAGGGTCAGACGGTATATTTTCTTTTCTCAAATCCGCAAGTTTAAAACAAATTGGTAAGTTTATGTTCTTAAGTTATTTATTCTTGCGTTCAGATGTATATTGTTTTCAACAAATACTTAGTTTAAACCTGTTTCATTCAAACAAAACAAATGCTGCTTGGTGATCAAATACTAATCGTTTTCCTCTCCCCCAGTTCCAGCTTCCACTACGCCATCACGCCGTTCTAACGGTGCTTCGGAACTGGCGCGAGAGTGTTTCCAATATGGAAAATAGTAAAAAAAAAGTGCGACGCAGTTCGGTCGATGCAATGAATCCTCTTCTCTTCTGTACAAATGGAGCATGGGTGATCAGTCTTATGGGCCAGACATCTGGTGTGGTGCAGATCCAGCTGCAGTCGCCGACGCCATCTTGCTTTAGATCTTGAGGCAGCTGCGGTGGCCGCCATTGCGGGCGTAGACCTCCTCGAAGGCGTGGATCAGCTCGTCCATGCCCTTCAGCAGGCCCTCCTCGCGGTTCCCGGACGTCCAGGCGCTGCGATGGTTCACACTCATATGCGCCGGCAGCTGGCGGCACTTGGCGAAGTCAATCAGCCACGCTCCGACCCGCTCATCGTCGTACACAATGAATATGCTGGAGCCGACGATCTCGTGGCGATTGAAGAAGGCGGACTGCTCGACGACCAGGCGCATGTGCTTCAGGCGCTTCAGCAGTTCCTTCTGCACGGACTTACGGGCGGCTAGGAACTGCTCGATGGTCTGCGAGATCTGTTCGCTGCTGCGGCAGGTTTTCAAATCCTTGACGGGAGGACGACCGCGCAAGCGGAGGGCTTCGATGCGGAAGCCCTTGGTGTGCGAGGAGGAGAGCGACTCGCGGAACAGCATATAGCGCAACTTGGTGATGGCTCGCGCCTCGTGCTCCGCCGCCGTCGGTGCGCTGGCATCCACGGCAAGCATTTTCTGGTACAAGTCCGGCCGGAGCGTGGCATTGCTCACCTCCGACTCGAGGAAGGTGCGGCAGCCCATCTTGATGTCCATCACGCAGGGATCCTTGAAGCCGGCCAACAGGTCCTGTAGCTCGATGTAGTGCTGCGACTGCATCTCCCGCATACCGAAGTACGCGGGCACAATCTGCGCCGTCTGTGGCTCCTGGCAGATCATGCGGTAGGCATGCACCTCGCTGTCATCGATGCCCACGATGCGCTTCCGCACAATTCCCGTCGACGTGGGCACAATGCTCTCTGGATGGCCGGACAACTGCATCCAGCCCTGGGGCTTGGTCTGCTGCTGCTGGAGGAGATGCGGAGTGGCGGGGGCGCTCAGTTCCAGGGCATTCTGCAAAAGATTAGAAGAAAGAGGAAAGAATCGGTAAGTGAAAAGAATTCATTGATAAAGTCTCGATATCAGCTCGGCCGCTCTGTCCACTGTCCGGCTGCGATTCGAACTGGTTCTGTCTGTTTCTGTTTCTCACTCTCTCTTCCATCATTATGGTATGCTCATGATTATAAATAATCAAACAAATTTTATTTACTTGCCTCGGAGGGAGCCACGCCCCGGCCCTCGTAAACGCGAAATTTATGCGACCCGACAAGCAATCGTACATTGTACGAGGTTGCAAGCAGGAAACAGAATAAGCAGAAGCAGAAGCAGAAGCGTTTAATCGTCGAATTGTCGAATCGCAGCCATGTGGAAAGTTTCGCCCTGCTCCTTTATGGGTGTTTATGGGAAATGCGGTGTACTTACAATGGCCAAGAACTTGAGCAGTGACATCTGTGGGGTCTGCTGAGCGGGAGCCTGTGTCTGTGTCTTGGTCTGTGCCTGGACCTGGACCTGAGCCGCTCTTTGTAGACTCAAATAGTCGGCCAAGTTGTCGCAGTTCTCGTAGGGAATCCGCTGCAATCAAACGGAAAGATAGAGGATGTGATGGTTAGAAGAGCTGTGGATATGATTCACTCAAGTCTTAATTATTTATTCAATCAGAATGCAGGCGAAATATTTCGATCGTTTTGTTTGTGTATGGCTTTTGGTTTATGGGACGCCGTGTGTGGTTTACGACACTGCCGTGTTCCTAATGAGGCACTTAGTATGCAAAGATCGTTGTTGTTTCTGTTGCCGTTGCTGCTAGCCTATGCGAATTGAGCCATAAGCATTGGCCATAACAAATAACAATCTGTCCCAGTAGAAGGCGATCGGATAGACGGACATACAGACAGACAGACTGACAGACCGGACCACAGACCCCCATACGAGTAGGAAAGTCGCCCCATCACCTCTCTACGCCTTGATTAATTAACAAATTAAGGTAATGCGCTCGGAACTCGTTTGTATCGCAGCATCTTATATAGCTTTGGCTTCTGCCTTTGGCGCTATCTATCCACTATTATCGTATCGCTTAAGTGTTCAGATAAGGCTGCGTATTTCTGCGGCAGTCGGTTCTTGGGTTCCTTCTCTTGGGTTAACAGCACTCCGCTCCCCATCGCCACGATTGCCACGATTGCCACTGAGATTCCGATCTTTACGTAAGTCCAGTAAGCAGCAACAAGAAACTCGGTAAATTTGCATATGTGGCACAAATTCGTCACGCGTGCGATGAGGAGATGGCTACAGTGAACACCCCTTCTCAGGGTCAACGTGTTGCTTATCAGCCTTCTTATCATTTTATGACATGTGTTCCAGAGCCTTAGGCAAATGTTTGATTAGAGATTGAGATATTGCGCAGTCGGACATTAAATTCGGATTAGAATCCCCTAAGAACATATGTATTTACGTTTATTCTTTGACCTCAACGCTTATATTTCCATGTTCATTATGAGAAAGCAAATGTATTAATTAGTCGCTAATAAGATGTCAGATATGTTTAAGCGGCAATCGGTAGGGTGGTGGAGATCGATGGGGATCCATATCGAGTTCTATTAACCAATATTCGAGGTACACTCGGGCGTGTCGTCAGCACTGACCTTTGTAGAACGATCCGATCCTAACCGGCGGCCGTTCAATCGTATTACTCGTATGTATATCTATCTATCGATCGATCGATCGACGTATGTAAGTCCGTCCGCTGTTCATTGAGTACTCGTTTTACAACTGCATTTTACAACTGATTCGCGTCGGACAGACGAGTGAGGGGTGTACCCCCCAGAATAGTACATTTTTGCACGTACACCCCTTTGGGGCGACTAGGTTTAATTAGCATTTAAGCTGTAATTTGGTTCTAGTTTTAGTTTTAGTTTTAGTTGGGGAGTGCGTCACGCTATGGGGGGATACACAGCACTAGGAAGACATTTGTATTATTTAACTTTTATCAGCTATTGCATATTTATCATCATCATTATATCATTAATAACCAGAAGATTCTATATGGAAAATGGGAAGGAAAAGCGGTCAGGGAAAAGCATCATCCATCAGATAAACATTGTGACAGTTCCCGCGATTCAAAAAGCGAAACCGCAGAGTGTGCAAAACAATAATTAACTCCAGCAGTGATGGCAGATGCCACATCATGGCAGGAGGAGGCAGTGTGGCAGTAAAATTACAGCACTTTTCGCTTGAGTGATTCGGTGCGGATCGGCTCGAACCGATTCGGAGGCGACTTCCCAGACCCTGGGCTATTTTTAGGCTGCCAGACCGATTCACCGATTCAACGATTCAACGATTCACCGACTCAGCGACTCACCGATCCGCCGATTCACCAATCCAATGTTTAGCTAAGCTCACAGTTTAGTAGTGTTTATTTATGACTACTTAACATTTGGAACGTGTTAACGAAACAGAAACAGAAACAAATACAACGGCCACAGAAAACACCAACAAAAAAGTGATATAAAAACTTTGCTCAAATCAATTTATGCGCGTGACGTCAAAGCCCCGCTCGGGGGCTGGTGGGGAGTGTTGCGTTAAATTAAACAAAATTATAAAAATCAATCTGCCGAATTTTGACTCGAACTTGAGTTGAAAGTTGAGTTTGTGAGCCAACGATCGGACTGTTGCTGTTGAGGTCCAGCCTAAGGCCTGAGAGACCCTGAACCTGGGATTCGTGCGTACAACTTGCCCCAAAAAACAGGTTCTCCTCGCGGGGATCGTGCCTCCAGACTCCACAGCAGAGGTGACTCAGGTGCAGCCTTCTCCAGGTGCGGCCGCTACCGCTGCCGCTGCTTTTTGTAGAACACAACCCTGACATTAAAAACACTATGAAAGGAGAAAAACAGTCCTCGAGAAGAACAGTCTGTCTGCAAGAACAGACCTCGTCAGCGAGTGGACTGGATGGGAATGGGAATGGCTCTGAGACTGAGACTGGGATGAGTATTCCGCACCATCGGCATATAGATAGTCGCAGTCGTTTGCTTGGGGTATACATATGTATATTTGCATTGACGTCAATCTACTGAAACGAGGAGGGGATGAGGAGGGGGGGCACGGCTCGAAGGGAGAGGTAGTGTGTGGAAACCAGTTACGTTAAGACATAACGCAAAAGCCAGGCCATTGGCAGAGGATTAGATCCGTTAGCCATGTCCAGAGGGAACAGCGGACAGAGACACTATCCAACTATCAAAAGCTGTAATTAACTCAAGAATTTTCACACTCTCTCGAGTCTGTAGTCTGCGTCGCAGTTCTGTAAGGAGAGGGCCCAAAGCCAAAGCCGAACCCGAAACCGGATCCGCTATAGAGAGCCGTGGAAATGCGTCAATAAGCCTTTCCCTGTAATGCATCGATTGGCCGGACAGAGCCCGTGAATCACAGCCGATAGCTGCGAAAGTTCGGCTGCGACCCATGGTGAGGCCCATCATGTGACTAATCCCAATCCCAATTAAAAATTGGCGACAAAAACCAGATCGAAGATGGTGATTGCAATGGAAGATGGCGAAGATTCGGGGGAATAACCGGGTGCTCAAAATAGAAACTGGACTAGATCGAATGAATGACCCAAAGTTGTGGCACAACCTTCGCTGCCGGGCCTTGATCTTAGAGAGTGAACAAATTAAAATTAAAGCTGGCAAAAATTAACCAATGATAGCTCTGCGAGGCTTGTGGCCGGTGGCCTGTGGCCTCAGGCCGAATTTGAATCTGAGGCAAAGTGTGTGTGTGGGCCGCTGCACTTGAGGACTGTTTGAGGAGAGAAGTAGTGTCGAGTGCTGGCGATACACTGTGAGAAATGTGGCGAGTCAATAAACCCCAGATGACATAACAAGGAAAACGGATTGCGAATAAACAAAAGGCTTTACAGACAGACAGAAAGACAGTTAGCTGCTGCACTCGAAATTTGAAGGCGAGAGAACTGCACAGCGAGAAACGTGTCGTAGAATGAGTGGACTTCCTGTCGAAATGCCAAAAGAGGGATCTCCGAAGCCCGATGCCCGAACCTCAACGAATCAATTGTCTGTAATGAAATGAAATGAAATGAATCGATTCGTTTGTCCATGTAGCCCATGTGACCGAATGGACGCCTCATCCAAGCCACAGCCATAGCCATGTCTGATGTGTGATGTGTGCTGTATGCTGTATGCTGTGTCTTGTGTCTGCTCTCATAACCGGCAATGTCCGGCTCTGGTCTCTTGTTGTTGGCTCATGTTGCTTGTCTTTAATTAGCGCAGACTCGTTGCTGTATGCAAATTGACGTTACGTGGATTATCGGACCCCTTTTCGACCCACAGACAGACCCACGAGTGCTAAACGTAGTACGAGTACGGGTGTACTGCCGCTGCAGATCTGCTCGAGATATGAGTATTGTTTACAGGCCGCATTCCTGGCCAAGGCCTGAAGGTGCTGAAGGTGCTGAAGTTGCTAAGGGGTATGGGGTGACTGGGTGGGTAGGCCCCACAGTTGTTTCAACAACAAACAAAACTCCCCGCAGACGTCATTCCTGGACCCATAACCATACCTCGGTCATGAGTATACTTATATATGTGTATCTCTCTCTTTTTCGGCCACTTTCTCTGGAGTGTTGCTTTCTACGCGGATGTGGACGGACAAGACAATCCTCCACCATCGCCATTGACGTCACTGTCGGTTGGTTTGTCTTTTGTGGTACCAATATTACAAGCTTTCTTTTGTCGGGCACTCACCTCATGGTTGTTATTGTTGTTGCGACCAACAGATTTCGATTGCTTCTGCTGCTGCTGCTGCTCCACATCCAACACGATGTGTGCATTGTGCTGCTTGGAGCTGGCGCCCGTGTCCAAGGCAATTAATTTCCACAGCTGCTTCAGGCCGATGTTGTCGATGCATGAGAAGCGCAATTTCGACTCATTCGACCAGGCCATCGTGGAGCGGCTGGCGGAGGAGGGTTTCGGTGGCTTCGATACCTTTGCGGCAGCTGTCGACTGTTGCTGGTGTGTTGTTGCTGCTGCTGGAGGCCGCTGGAGCACCGTTGAAGTCATAGTCATTCAGTCGGAGTTATCGCCTCACGTCTCACGAGAGTTTGCACAACGAATGATATTTTTGTCACTGGGTTTGCTTTTGCCTTGTGGCGTTTTGCTTTTCGCCTTTTCAATTTATGATTTGGATTCTCGTATTTTCACGCTTTATGCCTCCATACACTTTGGCATTCTGCTCGTTTTTCTATACTTGTATATTTCTATTTCTCAACTGCATTCTCATTTCAATTGATTTTCACGCTCCATTTGCATTGGAAACTTTATCTTTATCTAACTTTGTTTTTGCATTGCTTGCTGTTTGCTGCTTTCTGCTTTATCTTTATCTTTGTGGCCCGTTGGGAGTCTTTTTTCTGCGATCGCGCGACGACGACAACGACTGCCGTAGAAATCAGAGAAGAGCTTGCGTTCGCTGGTGGAGCTCTGGGTGGCGACTAACTGGTTTCGCCATCTGGCATCCAGTTTTGTGCTCTGACGAGTCGCACTCGTCGTCGAGCGAGTACTCGGCATTGTGGGGAGCCGAGCGGCTCTCTCGGCGCGGATCGGAGAGCGTGGGCAACAGAGAAGCTTTTCGGATCGTTCGGAATAGAACGAGAGGCATAAAGAGAGAGAGAGAGAGAGAGACGAACACCCTCGGGAAAGAGAGGAGCTGGGAAGATAGTGCTGGCTAACAGAAAAGGAATCTTTAAGGAACATATTCAACGATCTATCTCGGATCTGAAGATCCCTTTCCCTAAGAGGGGGATCTATTATTTAAAAGTTTCCTGAATGTCATTGAATGTAATCTTTAGCATCGCAATACCCCATGAAATCTATATTTAGATGAAAAAATTCCAAATTGAATCGTGTTGTGAAAAGAATTTGCAATGAGATGATGGCGATAGGAAAGTGATCCCTAAATTGGATTCCCTACGTAGTCAACATGGAATTATCAATTAGATTGGGATCTATTCTACGCAATCGACTGGGGAATCGAGAGGGCTCGTCGAAAAGCGGTCACAACAAATGTCTTGTTTGTTTAGAAATTCGCATTACCACAGAAAGGGAAAACGAAAAACAACTAGAGCTGAATATATTGTCAGAGTGGAATTCATGAAATCCTAGAGCAAAACAACACCCAATGGGCGATGCGATGCGCAAAAGAATCTTCAGAGAAGAGTCTTCCAGAAGGACAATCGAAACAGAACAGACAGATCGAACGATCTCGTGGCGCCATCTAAGGTCAGACATTGAACCGTCTGCCTCCTCCGCTTCTTTGGGATCTCTTTTGGATCTCTCTTTTATCTGAGCTGTTGTTGAACTTCTGCGAGAAGAGATTCCCGGACTTATCTGCAATGCTAATGCCATGCCATGCCAGCAACTGCGCAATGTCTTGGGGTCTTTCGGGGATTATGCAAACTGTCGCCAAAAAGCTGCGCCAATTTCTGCAGATCCTTCGCCATTCCATCCGCGGGGTTCATGGCCAATGGCCAACACAGAGACAGAGACAGAGACGGAGAAAAAGAGAGTGAGTGCAATATGCGCATATTTTAGTTTGGCGCGATGTCGATGCTGTCGATCGAGACGAGATGCGTGCGTCAGTCTGACATACAAACCTCGAGTTCGAGTTCGAGTTGCAGTCTAGAGTCGTCTCTCCTTCTGGCTTGAAGAGAGACTCCCCAGAGACTACGTCAGAGCCCCAGACGACAGTTTGTCAGCCGTCTGTCTGTCTGACTGTCTGTCTGTCAGTCAGTTGTGTGTCCCATTGTAATGCAAACCCCAAAATGGTAATGACTTGTCATCGGGCTTGGGTTTGGCTTCGGGTTCGCGGGAAACTGTCTCTCGAAATGCATTGAACCTGGCTGCCTCTGGTGTCTGCAGGCAACGTGGCGTACGGGTCGATAATTTTTAACGAGGCACGTGACCACTTGCCACCTCAAACGGCCTCAAGCAAAACAAAACCATCAATTGCAACGATAAATGCTATTCTTGAGCAATTAAAAATAAGTCGACCGGCAGCAGCCGCTCCGCAGTTCTCGCATAATGCAAATGCGAGGCAGAATGAAGTCAGGGCCGGACAGGGGGTCGCTCTATAGACAACCCGCAGTCCGGCCCTTGCTCATTGCATTGCTGGGGCTGCCCATCAATTAAGCTAAATTATCGGCGTCTCACAGCTTCATTCAAATGGCACTTCCCCTCGTCTTTCCAATGTATTCCATGAATAATCATCATCCAGCAGCGGTTGCAGCCACTCTGATGTGATGAGAAAGCCCATGATCAGAAAAGCCCCAGAGCCCCGTCGTAGGCCTGACGTCAAACGTAAAGTTTGCGTGAAATTTCTTTGTTATGGCAAGAGAAGGAAAGAGGATTGGCTTTCTGCACGCCTCAGTGGTCGCAATGGCCACGAGACAAACACAAAGAAAAAGAGACAAAGATCGAGATCGACAGCACGGGTTTAAGACAAAGAATCTCTCCGGACAACGGACAACGGACCAGCAGGCACTGGCCTCCTCCCATGTGTCGCTCCGGAGACGGACTTTTGTACTCCGTCATTCTGTTGTTGCTGTGTTTTGTTGTGTCACTTTTGCGCTTTCGATTGACGCATTTGAGTGTCACTTGACTTTTTTAATCTCGCGACTTTATCGTAGCTGACTGGCCGGGACGGACTGCCGGACTGGCTCAGAATCGGTTTCGGCTTCGAGTCGCGATCGAATGGTTCGTCATATTTCTGTAACTTAATATTATGCTCCTCAGGGTAGTACGAGTGCGGAGGCTCCCTCTGAAGCTCTGACGCTTCACTGGCTCCAATTGTGCGGCCTCCTCCTCTACTGACTGTTGGTTTAGATTTCGATCATACTCCACACAGAATATTTGCTTGTTATAATTTTGCCAGCGATCACTCGCCGGCTCGCTCGCTCGCTTTTTAAATTATAACTCAATGACTTTCCTGACGTCACAGTATTAAGCTCTCGAGTCAACAAAACGCAAAGCAAAAACAAAAACCACAAAAAAACTATACAGAAAAAACTACAACAAGTGTTCCTCATTAACATGTTCTCCATGAATACGGAATAGTGTGGGAGTGTAGCCGATGATCTTCACGCATACAGCGGCGAGAGAACTGTAGACGAAACACAAAAGAACTGCTGGAAAAGGGCCCTGATGATATGGAAATGCCAGAGGCAAGGAAAAGCTAATGGGATTCATCACAGGAGACCTCTAACTACCACAGATCATTAAATATGGAAACCCTAGAAGAATCTATTGAAAAATTCACATTTTTAAAACAGCTGACTAAAGAATCGCCACCGAATTGAGTCGATAAATGTTTCTTCAATGTCGTACACAGGGCTTCCCTTATCTGCGCTGAACTCTGTTTGAGGTTAATTGTTTAGCTTGTAAGCCACAAGCTAAACCAAGTGTTTACCAGTTCTACTCGTACTCGTACTCATACCCGCAGTAATATCTCGCTCCCAATCGAAATATGTCATCAGTCTGTAGACCGCACTGTGGTTTCCCCACAATGGCAAAAGTCTGGACAGAACACAATCCAAATACCCGGGGGATAAACCCTTAGCTAGCGAGTGGAGCCACTTTTCCAATGAATCCAACGTCACGAGATGGCCGAGAGTCCATTGGAGCATTCTCCAGTTCCAAGACAGGAAACGAAAGCACTCAAATTGTTTGGAAAACTTTCCTTGATATACATAAAAACTGATTAATTGACTGATAATTGTATATATTGTATGGTCTGACATCGACAACGTCACGATCTGAGTGCGCTGAGAGATGCTGACAAATGGGAATGGGGATAACGTTTTCTGATGAAAGATTTCACTCAAACAATGAGAGTACGTCACAGATGAAGTGTTCCTGGGAATTCGGTAGAGAAAAAGCTGCCTCAAGGGGGAATAGCAATCTGCAGAACATCCAAGGAGTGTGTCCCAAGGGGAATCGTTGTAAAAACTTACCAGTTCTTCTGCTGATGGAGCACTGGTCACATGGCAACAGACCGAGGCGAATCCCTCTAGGAACGCTCTCATTTGTGAGCTGATAGCAGAGTTTGTTTTGATCACTCCTCTGGGGGCTATCAACCTGCTAATTTGTGCCGACTGTCATTTGGTTTGTGAATGATTTTTCGCAAACTTAAAAATAGTAGTGTCGCCTCCATCCACTCCATACAGTCCATATAGACATGTGAGTGGCGCGAGCCGCAGATAGAAGCGTCGCTGTCTCCTATCTCCTGCTGGACACTGAGATCGATCTGGGGGTCACAACCGAAATAAAACGCTCGACTGCCGACTGCCGAGTGTCAGTGCAGGGCAAAAACAGCAATGAAATGGGAAACAGGAGAAACAATTGCTGGCCGAGAACGAGTGTAAAATTAGAACCTCGGCAAGAAACAAACAAACGCAAACGATAATAAATATTTATGTGCGTGTAAACAATTTGATTGATTCGAGCCAAACGATCTGAAACGGGGATAAAAACAACGGCTGCCTTCTGTTTTTCTCGCCATCTCGGAGTCGGAATCGGAATCGTAACGAAAGGAATTTCGTTTCTGGAATTGCAATTAAAATCTCCAACCGCAGAACAACATCTAGAAAATCTAAAGAGAGCGTACAGCGTACTGGTACTTTCTTTGGCCGCATTATGTCATCCTCCGTTAATTTCTGGCAAAACAAAGAGCTCGCTCTGTTTGCTCTGTTCTCTCTGATCTCGCAGATCGTTTGAAGTTTGTTTAGCACATGGATTGTGTGTGGATTGGCTTGTTGCTAATTGGGCTGTGATCGGAAATGGTTGCCTTGCCTCACGATCAAATGGCCAGAAAGAAGGGCATCTGGAAGGGGAAACTGGAACGAGGGAGAACTGGAGCCCCGCTCCTTGCATTTCTTTCGGGCAGGAGCCGGAGGCGAGAGATCTACGGACGGAGAGGAACGTTCGATTTCGAGTGCAAAATCAATTTGCGTCAATTGCAGCTAAAGATTAGCCTCGCTCTAGTTTCGAGCGAATGCGAACGTGCACATAAATCAACGCCTGATAATAAATACACACCACATCACATCGCACACATCGTGGAAGACAAGACAATAAGCTGCTCCCCGGGGGGGCCTCTGCTTGGAAACAAAAAAACAGTGGTTTCATCGCTGGTGCGGCGGATTATCTCTTATCATAAAAAACAATATGAGTTTACACCAATTAATGCCAAAAATAGATCCCTCGGTCGCGTCAGATTGTGGAAGATGACGACTCGGGCAGGGAAGATACAGTTGTTGCACTGACAGCTGGCCTTACCGTTGCGCGTGACGCAAGTTGAACGGCGTACCGTTACGCGGGAGGTTTATTTATAAGCCCACATACCGAAAATAACCCAACGCGCAACAAATTCGCAAGCCTTCGGTCTCAGGCGTTCTCAGGCGAGTGCATCTGCACCAGGGGACCAGGGAATCGTCTCAGATCCAAGCAGCAGAAACGCCTGACTGTCAGCAGCATCTGATTCAGAGCGCCAGTGCAGGGCCAGGCCGGGCCGGCCGGGTCTTATCGGGCCCCGACATCGGAACCATAATTGTGTAATATATTGTCAGACGCGCGAGACGTGCCAGACGCGACACAGAAAGTCTCTCGGGCACGGACACGGGCACGTGGCATGCAAATGAAGGCGTCGGCGAAATGCCCGCTGAATATCATTAGAAAGATTTTGGTCAGCCTTGGCCAAAATTCATATAAAATGAAACAAAACCAAAACCGAAAGCAAAAAAATCCAATTAATTAAATCCATGCGAACTTCAATTCACGGAAAATTTATGGCTCTTACAGTTCCATTGAATTCAAATATTTGCTCGGCCCACAAATCACAATTGCTCGTAAATATTGCGAGAGCAAATATTGGTGCACAAGTTTCGGTCGGTTATGGTTGGATTCTGGCTAAACCCCGGAATCTGTGTGGGAACCGGGCATGTAGATGAGAGGCACAACAGTAAGTTCTAAACTGGGTAAACAGTCAAGCTGTGTGAATTTAGCTGGCTTGTTTAGCTTAGTTGCAGGAGCTACAGGGTGTGCCTATAACTAAAAGTCCCAGCCGTGGGAAATATTTTAGAGCCACATCCTGTAAAGGCAACATCCGGAAGTTCTGATGATGAAATATGTATAGATTCTTTGCAGTATGCAGTCTTTCTGCTGATTCATTCTCTGTAGTCTGTAGTCACAATGCGCTTCCATAATCTAAAAATATATATATAATTTCGCGTTCGCTTCTAATCAAAGGTGAGGAACTCTCAAAATCTGTTGCCTACGAACAAGATCAAAGATCGAATGAAGAGTCTAAACGCTAGGTACGCTTTTCCCACCAATCGTAACTAGTGTGGCCGCTCGCTTATGGGAATATGCCCTAGTGGTTAGAAGGGCACCACTTCAGCTACAAATCTGATAGTTTCCCAATTCTCAATGAGCTTATCACCTTAACAATGTCATTCCTGATGATCTAGACACATTAATTACTTACTCTCGAGTGCGGTGGCGTTTCGCGGTGATAAGGGAAATCGTGGAAATCGAAATAAAACAGATTGGTAATCTGAGGCGACACTCGCGGAATCAGCTGACAAAAATACAAATATAGAAATCAGAAAACCCCAGTCGCAAGTCCAAGTCCAAGGCGTTAGCAGGGTGCACGAGGAGGAGGGACACGGACAATGACATTTGGCATTCCTACAAAAACAGACGCGACCCGAATATAATATTATATCGTAGTTATAGTTGGTTGGAACGGGTGGAGTGGGTGGGTGCCTGTGTGCCTTGCTTAGACCAGATAACAATAAACTCATTAACAAGTCGAGGGGAAAACAATAACAATTACGGTTGTGGGTCAGGCAGCCGTGGAGGAGCGAGAGTGGGAAGTATATTTGTTATAAACAATTTCCTATTCATATTTGAGGAGCTTATCGCCCGAGTGCCTCGGAAGCAAACTTTATGGATAGGCAAATAAATGTGTGGATAATTGTTTTTCTCTATTCTGTTCTGCTCTTTCCAGTTGGGGGCGTGCGATCACAACAACTGATTCAATGCACACACGGAAACCGCGAGGTGAAAGTCCTCCCATGATGTTGTTCTATTGATTGTGGATTTTACAACTTAAGGGCGTGTGACTACCGAACCATTAAGGAACCTACAAACGGTATATATACGGAGTACTCTTCAGGTAAGACCACAAAAGTATACCAAACTCCAGCTAATACTTTCTACCGATTTCAGACATGTCTGCCTTTAAAATAGAGGAGACCCCGCCTCCCCTGTATACGGTTTACTTTGAGGACTATCTCAGGCCAAAAAAGCTACAGACAAAAGCACATCTGCAACATTTTGAGAAGAAAGTGGGGAAAATCTCAGCCGTAGCCAGCAGCCTGAAGCGCTTGAAGATACTCCGCTGGCACTCTAGGATCATTCAACGATTTCAGCAGCTGCCTCTGCCCAGTTTTCTGAGCTTCCTGCGGGCCCGCAAGGACGATGGCATGTGCAAACGGAAATCTGGCTTCGAGATCTACTGCGAAATGGCCAGCATCCATGGCTTCCATGTGTTTGTCGGGGCCGAGACCTGGCAGCGCATTTTCTGGTGGCTTCTGATTTGTACTGCAGTGATTTTGTCGAACGTTATCCTTCTCACGGCGCCCAAAGAAGCTCCCACCATTCTTTTTATAGACAGCATGATGAAGGCAACCTCAGAGATCCCCTTTCCGGCGGTAACTATATGCAGTTTGAATGGAATTTCCAAGGATAAGCTACAGAAAAGAGCCAAGGAATGGAAAGTGTCAGAGGAAACGCTGCGGAATAGCGTTATGGAGGAGTTGTTTCGGACGAACCTCAGCTGGTCGCAGCTTCTGGAGGATCTGGCTCCGCCAATCTGTGAACAGATCCGTAGCTGCAAGTGGGAGAATCATCTCGAAAGCTGCCTGGGAGAACTGAAGCCATTCTGGACCTTTGATCATCGTCTCTGCTGCAGCTTCAACCATCAAAAAGAGCTCTACTCTTCACAGTTGGGAGTTAGTCTCGTGGTAAACCTTCAAAAAGAGGATTATGCTGACCCAATAATTGCATCCCATGGCTTGGAGGTACTCATTCACGAATCCCAAAGCGTACCAGATGCCGCCACCATGAGGATGATGATACCAAGTGATTCAGAGACCCACCTAATGGTGCGGGCCTTTTCCACGCGGTTCACAGCGAATCTAGCGGGCCTTCCCATTGAGGACCGACGCTGCTTCCTGCCCGATGAGCATCGTCTGTGGTTCTACTCCGCCTACAGTCTAAGCAACTGCCTTTCCGAGTGTCGCAGCAAAAAAATCTTTCAGTCTTGCGGCTGTGTTCCGCCCCATGCTCCTGGGGAAAGCACATGGCCCATTTGTGGCCTCCAGCAGGTGGAATGTGTGCGGAAGTATGGCAAGTGAATGATATCTGATACAAAAGTAAGGTTTATTGATTGGTTTTCTATTTACAGATGAAATTAGTGAGCAGATCACGGCAGTAGAGAGGGACTGCAATTGCCTGCCGCCGTGCACATTCCATCGCTATGAATTCGAGAGTGATGTGGATGCAATGCGTGGATCCAATTCCACGAACGAGGTCTACTTGAATGTCTACTACGACCTCGCATTTACCGAGGAGCTGCTTTTGGACGTGTACGAGACCTGGCTGGCATTCATAGGCAAGTGTCCAAGGGCATATTCCATTAACGAAACTACCAACAAGACGAGCGCCCCCCGTATTAAAGTGTCATTCATCTATCCTTAATGGGCAGGAACCTTTGGCGGCGTCAACGGGCTATTTATGGGCTGCAGTTTCGTGTCGGTCTTCGAGCTAATATTCTTTACGTGTGTGCGCCCCACTTGCAACTGGCTGGCGCGCCAGCAGATACTCTGGCGACGCCGCAGGAAACAAGCAAAAGTGGGTTTGGCTCATTAGCGGTGGGCGGTATTTAAGCGCGAAACTAATTGCCGCAAGCAGCCGCCGCAACAGTCGTCGCACAGAGGTCAAGCCGAAGAGATGGCGTTCAAGAAGCGACGCATCTTCGATCTGCGGCAAGTGCAGGCCGCCCAACAGCTGGCCGCCTCTACCCGCAGTGATCCCGTAAAGCGCTCTAGTCCTGAGAGCCATCAGCCCATCCATCGCTTCCGCCAGCTTGGAGAGTGGTTCAGCGAGAATATGCGCAATTATTGTCAGACCACGTCGCTGCATGGCTTTAGCTACATCACGCGGCAGGACATCAGCCGGAACGAGCGCCTGTTCTGGCTGATTGTCGTCATCCTGTCCATCATCACATCGATTGTGCTGGTCGTCGTCTCGTGGCAGTGGGCCCGCCAGACGCCCACAGTCACGGTCATCGAGAGCTCGCACTTTCCCACCTGGAACATACCCTTTCCCGCCGTAACGATATGCAATTTCAACAAGATATCAAAGCTTAAGGCGATCAACCTGCTACAGCAAATGTGAGAACACATATCGCAGTGGTTTATAAGTGTTTATCCAAAGAACTCTCTTCTTTCCTTAGGCAAGTGCCTGCTGGAGTCAATAGATCGGAGCTGCACAACCTTTTCAATCTTACTCTGTTGCCCGTGGACAATATGATCAGCAATAGTTCGTTGCACACTTATGACAGGATCCTAAAGCTGAATAATGTCAGCCTCACAACGCTAACGTCTCAGTTGTCGCCGGACTGCATTGACATGATCTCCAGCTGCATCTGGAAGGGCATCAACACGCGCTGCGACAGCCTCTTTCAGCGCATCGAGACGATGGAGGGGCAGTGCTGCAGCTTCAACTATTTCGGAGGGATAACCAACAATTTCCCAGAGTAGGACAGCATCTTCCCCATCCAAGCATCATTTACTAATCCATTCCGATCCCAGGAAAATCGCTTATCAGGTGCCAAAGCGTCCGTATCGAGTCACTGGCTGTGGGTATCCCACGGGTCTGACCGTGCTTCTCAGTCCCATGGCCTCTGATTACTACGGCACCTTCTTCAGCGGCTATGGGTTCCAGCTGCTGCTCCACGACGCCTACAACTTTCCCGATGAGAACTCAGAGACCAAGGTCGTGACATCCACGCGCGAGAGCTTTGTGCGAATCAATCCAGAGTCGACCTATGCCACCAACGACATTCGCCGCATGGACTTGTCGCTGAGAAACTGCCTGTTCGGGAGCGAGCGGGCGATGCACGGACTGAAGCGGTACTCCTTCATCAACTGCATGTTCGAGTGCAGGGTTAAGATGATCCACAACCTCTGTGGCTGCGTTCCCCCGTATGTCTATAACAATGGTAGCTTCAGGGTATGCGATGTGCTGGATGCTAACTGCATGATACACGGAAAGCGTAAGTGGCAGATGGGGGAATATCTTCTAGCAATCATCCTCTAATCACTGTTCCTCTTAGGTCTCTTCTCCCATGCCTTGGCCAATCTGAATATGTCGCTGTCAATTGTGCGCGAGACGAGTAGTTTTCCCTGCGGCTGTCTGCCCGATTGCCAGTCGAATCATTACGCCTCGGAGAGCACCATGGGCAGGCTGGATGTCAGCTACTTTGCCAATCGTCCGGGCAGCAGGTAGGTGTTTTATATCCGTGCTTGCAGCCAGATATCATAGATTCATTTGTTGTAGCAACGACACGGACAGAATTCTGTTGCATGTGTTCTTCAGTGACCTCATGAGCACCAGATATCGCACAGACATTTTCCAGAACTGGCTATCCGCCTTGGGTGAGTGAGCAAGCCCACCCTAAAAGTGACAAAATAATAATAGTCCTCTTTTGACAGCTTCATTCGGCGGATTGTTGGGTCTAATTATGGGCTTTAGCATCGTGACGGCCTTTGAGTTCCTGTACTTCCTGACCTTTCGACCCATATTCAACTACATCAACCGCGATTAAAGAGAGGGCTCTCCCTTCCACCTTTCCACCCTCCCTCACCGCTGCACACTATCCATCCCACCTCTTGACACGCTTTAATTAGAGCTCTGATTGATTAGCAGCACTCAGAGCCCTCGCATCGCTATAAATTGACTGACTATAAAGATTCGAGCACACTTCAGGCACAACGCATCACGAACATGACTCAAGTGGAGGCCCCCTCCAACTATCTCCGCCTGTTCAAGGAGTTTCTGCGCCAGAGCTCCATCAATGGCCTGCACCCGTTCCTGTACCCCACACCCATCCGATACGCCAAGTGGGTGAGAAAGTGCATCTAAATCGTATAAAAAAACTATCCACCCCTATTTACAGAGCACTCTGGCTGACGCTGATGGCCGCAATAGTGGTGTGGACCCACGTTGTTATCGTCAATCTCACCCTGGAGTACCTAGACCAGCCAACAGAGATCCATATGGCCCCCGATCTGGTGCACGTGGCCAACAGCCCCTTCCCGGCGGTCGGCGTCTGCACCGCCAATAAGATCAGCCAGCGTCTGCTGCGCAGCTATGCCGTCAAACTGTGAGTCCTTTATTGATTCTCTCAGCCTTAGATTTAGTTGAAGTAGCCCAGGTTGTTGACCTCAGCGGCCATGGCCACGATCGAGTCGAGGAGCTCCTCGCTGGCTGGCACGATCTGTGCGGCTGGCAGCTTGAAGCCGGTGATGATGCTGTTCGAGGAGGGACGCAGCTCGTAGCAGAAGGCCATGCGCACATCCTGGGTACCGTAGGCCCAGTCCACGCTAGCACCGGCCGCTGGATAGATGGCATCGTAGATGTTGCCTCCGGTGTACGTAGTGCCGTAGCGCTTGTTAACGGCGGCAATGGACACGTCGTAGACCTTCCTAAAATCGGCCACGTTGTCGGGGAGATCTCCGGTGTGTCCGTAGGGATAGAGCAGGTACTGGGAGTAGGCGTGCAGGGAGATGTACAGCTGGATCTTGCCCTTCAGCGAGGCAAGGTAGTTGGACAGGGAAAGAGTCTCGATTTCGGAGAAGGCTGAGGGGCCGGCATAGGTATCGGAGCAGGGGTTGGAGCTGGCGCCCACCTCGTTCCAGTGGAAGGCCCAGTTGCGGTTAGGATCGGCGCCGAAGCAGCCCTGGTAGGGTGTGCGTGTCTTGCGCCACATCCGGTCGGTGGTGTGGGTGTAGACGTAGCCGTCGGGGTTGGCGTGGGGCAGGACGTACCAGGTGTAGTTCTCGGCCAGCTGCTTAACAGCCTCCACTTCGGAGGTCAGCAGCTGGTTAATGATGTAGGTGGCCGCCGCGGGGGCGATCCACTCGCGAGCGTGGATGCCGGCCTCCAGGAAAATGCCGGGCTTCTCCTTGCCGCTCTTGGTGATCTTCACGCCCAGAATAGAGCGTCCCTGATAGGTCTTGCCGCCCTCGATAAGGGTAACGACTCCGGGGTTTTCAATGGCCAGGGTCTGCAGCCAGGCGTAGGTGTCGTCCAGCTCGTAGTACTGCTCCCAGTTGTAGGCTTCGCCAGCGCGTCCCTTCATTGCCACCTTCTCGTCGATCTCGTCCATGGTCTTCTGCACGTCGCTGGACTGCAGCAAATACTTGATCTCGGCCTTGCCGAGGATCTCCAGTAGATCGGGCACCTTGTGCGGGGCCACAACCATCTTGACATCGGCTCCCACAATGTGCACTCCGTCCAGGAACAGGATGGAGTCGCTGGAGCTCTCGAGCTGCTTCAGCACGGCCAGCTGCTCGGCATTCTCCGCGTTCGTCTTGTACAGGCGGTAGTTGTCATAGCGGGCGCGCTCGGCGCTGACTCCCGCCAGGGCCACGACGGCCAGGAGGGCCAACAAAAGGGACTTGGTCAGCGACATAGTTGTCGTTGTTTGTATGAGCTCCAAACGGGCGAGATGGTTGCTTTTATAGGCCAGACCAAAAGGCGGCGCCGATAAGAGCCGAATCTAATTTATTGCCCGATAGTGCGCGCTGCGCGAGTGGCTTTGCTTTGTCCATTTCTGTGAGGCAGTAAATATCTCGGGGTAATCTGTGGGTGGCTCTTATCACGGTCTCAGCCCCATCGCATGGTAAATCATTGCATGACGTCCCCGAGAATTCTCAAAGAAATTGCCATTTCACGAGACACAAGTGTCTCAGACCAGTCACTCGAGCTCCCTCTTAGCCTCCTCGTCACAAATAATGAACTAGTTAGTCCAGGGATTTATTTCAACTTGTAACCCTCGATAGAGGCAGCGGCCTTAACCATTTCCACCACCGAATCCGTTGTCTCCTGTCCCGTGGGGATTATCTGTGACGCCGGCAGCCTGAAGCCCGTCCAGAAACTATAGCCCGAGGGTCGCAGCTCGTAGGTGAAGGAATACTTGGTCTTCAGCTCTCCATAGGCCCAGTCCATGCTGGAGCCCGCCGCCGGATAGATGGCGTCGTATACATTCCCTCCCGTGTAGCGGGTGCCAAAGCGCCGCTTCATGCCCCCCAAAGCGGCGGAGAAGATGCGCTCCAGCTGTCGATGATTCTCAGGCAGCGAGGAGGTGTGTCCGTACGGATAGAGCAGCAGCTGGGAGAAGGAGTGCAGCGAGAGGTACATGAACACGGGCTCTGGCAGGGACTTCAGATACTGCGAGAGGCCCTCCGTTTCCGGCTCCGAGAATGCCTTGGGTCCGGCATACGACTCCGAGCAGGGCTCGTCGCTGGCTCCCACCTCGTTCCAGTGGAAGCCCCAGTTCCGATTGGGATCGGTTCCCATGCAGTTCTTCTCCTGCGGACTGCGTGTCTTGCGCCACAAACGATTCTAAATAATGGAAAATAAGGGAAATTAATAGGATTATGCACCGAATTGTGATATTAGAGCCTACCGTGGAATGAGTGTATACATATCCATCCGGATTGGCATGGGGCAGAATGTACCACACGTAGGAGCGGGCAAGGCTCTGGATTTCTGGTTGCTGGGATGTGAGCAATTGATTGGCAAAGTACGTGGCGGTTGCTGGACTGATCCACTCCCTGGCATGCATGCCCGCCTCCAAAAAGATTGCCTGCTGTTCGCCCCTCTCCGCCCCAGCACTGTGGAAGATCCTCAGACCCAGGAGATCCCTGCCCTCGTAGCTGCGGCCAGCGACAAAGACGCTGACGATGCCTGGGTTCTTTTCCACCAGGTTCTTCATCCAGCGATGGGTGTCATTCAGCTCGTGGTACTCCGTCCAGGAGTAGTCATCGCTGCGACGATTCGCATCCGCCACGGGTTCGATATCCAGCGACAGACTGGCCTGGGCATTCGCATCGAGGAGCTCAGGGGAGATATCCAAGCTCTGGAGCAGCTGCAAAAACTCTTCATTGTAGCTGGGAGCTATCAGTGCGTTAATGGCGCCCAGATGGAGATCATTCAGGAATATGACTTTCTCGTTCGTGGCCTCCAATGGCCGTAGACCCTCCAACTGCTCTGCATTGTTTGGCTCCAACCGATAGACACGATGATCCTCAAACGTAAGGCGTTCGCACTCGCACAGGGCCAGCAGAGATAGCGACAGCGACACCAGTAGAACCTTCATTCTGGCACTAATCAAGGAATGGCCCTAGTCTAGGCCTTTTATACTCCACCATCGTGTCGCGTCTTGCATACTAATTTCCCTTTTCTCCACTCCCACTTCGTTTAGTTATCATCACCAGGAAAAGTCCAACTCCAACGACGAGTCTACGCTGCAGAGGGTGGCCCTAGATGTGGACGATATGGCCGAACGCCTGCTGGTGCTGGCGCAGTTCTATCTGAATCCCCTGGACACCCCGCAGCTGGACGAGGCACAGCTGCAGCGGCTCCACTGGCTGCTCTCCAGCTACCACAACGACACTGGCTACTCGGTACGTGATATATTGCGTCAACTGTCGCCAGACTGTGGCGAATTGATAATCCGAGGCATTGTCTACGGCTCCCCTGTGAACACCAGCCAAATGTTTGTCAAGCGACCGACTTCATCGAATGTGTGCTGCATATTTAACTATCGCCGACCCAGCTATTCCCAAATTGCGTGAGTGAATCCTACCACCCATAGGGGAGATGAAAGACTAATCAAATTACTAATTACAGGCACATACGAGCGGAGGATAATGCCGAGATGAGGGCCCAGCGAAAGGTGGTGTTTGAGTCCAATTCCATTTTGAACAGCGTGCAGTTTGTGCTGCAGGACACACCAGAGGATGATCAGACCAACACTTTCATGACCAACAATGCGTTTCAGGTGAGGGAGAGCGTGATTCCCCTTACCCTCCGATCATCGCATAATCTTAGTATTTCTTTCCTTAAAGCTGACAATCTTTCCGCAGGAGGATTATGCCACCGTTCAGTCCACAACTTTGGGAGAAATACTCGTTGATCACAACACCATTGTCGAGATTCCCATTCAGCCCACGTTCTTCAGCTCCAGCGAAGGAGTGCGCACCGTCTCGCCGGAAGCTCGTCGCTGCTACTTTCCCGAGGAGGGGAGGAAGCTCATCAACCAGTAGGCTCCACACACCATCTACCCTTTATACCATCCACTAATAATCATATTACAGATCGTATTACTCGATTGACGAGTGCCTGCTGCTGTGTCGCAGCAAGAGCATGATGGATCACTGCGGCTGCGTCTCCCCGCCTATGATTGGCAGCTCCACAGACCTAAAATACTGCAGCTTACCCGACCTGCCCTGCCTGACCAAGTGGAAGAGCATCTGGTATGGTTACGACGAGTTCGCGTATCTGCAGGAGGGCGAGAGCCAGGCGGCCCAAGGACAATGCACCCACTGCCTGCCCACCTGCAATGGAGTGAGTTTCCGCATCACAAGCAATGTGGCGCCCATGCGCCTCAACTACAATGGCACGGGCTACCGTACGGGTCTACTGTGAGTCCTTCCTTTCCGGCTGTCACTTTATCTGTTGCTAAATTTGTTGTTCAATTTCAGAAAAGGGCTGACCAACGAGCGGCCCTTGGCTGTCATCAAGTTCTTCTTCAAGTTGCGCTTTGCACAGGCCACCAAATCGGAGCTGGTCAGCACTTGGGTGGTGCTCCTGAGTGAGTATTCCATCTCTACAGACATTCAGGGAATCCATTTCTTTATAGTTTTCCCTTGCAGATCGCTTTGGGGGCATCCTCTCGCTTATGTACGGCTTCAGCATAGTCAGCTACATCGAGATATTCTATTACCTCACGGGCAAGTGGTTCGTCTACATCTGCAGAGCATTTACCAAGAGGCAACCACCACGAGCAGTCAGAGGAAACAACAGCCTCTACTGGGATGAGTTGATGCCCAAGGGATTAGGATTAAGGGTGCCCAATTAGCACGTGGAAGAACGAACGCACTCTCCTCGGATGTATGCTGAGCATAAATACTCTTTATTTTGAAATCGCTTTGAAATACGCTCACAAATGATCAACAATAGAATGGACTTATATCAAAAATGTATATAATGCAAACTCCACCGCTTGACGCTCACTCACTCGCACGCACGCTCTAATAGTCGTCGCCGCGGGATACGATCTCCTTGCAAGTGGGACGCAGCATGATAGTATGCTCGTACTGGGCCGTGTAGCAGCCCTTGATGTCGCACAATGGCGGATAGGCTTCCACAATACCCTTGTCGCATAGATCCTTGAGAGCCATCTGGTACTTGGTGGCGCCAGCGCGATCCAGCCAGCGCTTGCAGAAGGCCAGAGTGCCAAAGTTCTTGTTGATTGTGCCCAGAAGCTGCTTGGAAGACTGAAGACGCAAAGGCACGTACGGAAGATCAAAGTTCTTCATGTAATGCGAGCAGTCCATGTCGTCGTGCACCAGGCCGCGGCCCGTGGAGCCGAACGTTTCGATGGCATAGAACTCATCTTCCTCCATGCGCGTGGACTCGCCGCCCTTCACAATGGGAACAGTTTTGCCAGCATGAATGCCTATGGAAATGATAAAAATAAGATTGGGGTGAGTGAAACTACTTCTCATACATATTTATATAGATTTAAGCTTACGGTACGGGCTAATGGAGTGTCCGTTCAGATTACGTATGGCCTTGATGGGGTACGTCTTGCCATCCAGCTCGACTTCGTATGATTCCATTACCTCTTGAATGGCAGCCCCGATATCACATAGACGCACGTCAATGCCGGCCTCCTTGATGCCGGTGTTGGTGGCCTCCTTGACGGCCTGCAGCAGCTTGTCGTACTTGTTGTTGAAGGTCAGGGTGAAGGCACAATCGATGATGCGGCCCTTGATGTGGGTGCCAAAATCAATCTTGCACACGTCGTCGTACTGCAGGACCGTTGGGTCGCCTGCATTGGGGGTGTAGTGGGCCGCACAATGGTTGAGGGAACAGCCAGTGGGGAAGGCCAGACCAGCGTCGAGGCCGTTCTCGCCGATAAGACGACGGGCCGTGTTCTCCAGCTCCTCGCAGATCTGGATCATGGTCATGCCGGGCTTGATGAAGCGCTGCATGTATTGACGCGTCTGGCGATGGGCCTCGGCTGCCTGGCGCAGCTCCTGGTAGATTTCGGTGTTCATGCGGTCCAGGGCACGCTTCTCCTCCGAGGTGAGCCGATCCTTGGCAGTGCGATCATCCGGCAAGTCCTTGGGCGTGGGATGCTCCACGATCTCGCCCTCGGGAAACACGCCAGAGGGGAAAAGCTTTGCAATCGGTATGGTCGGGGGCTCTGTCTGGCCGTTACCGGCTTTCTTCCCCTTATTGTTCTTCTTCTTTGCCGCCGGCTGGGCCGAGGCGGCGGCAGCGGTTTTTTTCTCGCCGTTTGTGGTCTCTGCATCTGCATCTGGGGCAACTTCATCGCTGCCACCCTCAACTGCCTTCTTTGCTGCGGCCTCTGTGGAAGGGGTTGTGAAAGTTGTGGCGTGTACGGGTGCGGGGCAATTGCAATTATTGCATTTTTGCGCTGAGGTCACTCACCTTGTCGCAGTTTCTTGTTGTTCGGCTTTGGCTTTTTCTGTTTCTTCGCATCCTCGCCGGCAGCACCGTTTTCGGTGATCGCCGCCTCCACGTTTAGTGCTTCGGTTGCGGACATTGTTTAACGCAAATTGATGAATTTAACGAAAATCTAATCAGTGCGATTGCTGCCGATGGCGATGAAGAAAGAACAAAAACACGAGGTACTACCGCCAGTGCTGGCTAACAATCTTGTTCACAGTCACGAAGTATTTTTAAAAAACGGGCACGGTTTTTGTGGTACCTAATAATGCGGTTCCTATGTTTCTCGGTTTACGAATTATATATAATTTAATTGACGTTGCGACACGAGAAAACTGATTAAATATGCTTTCTGCCTGTCTAATACTATTGATGTGAACTATTTTGGTGCGACCCTAATTCAGTGTTGTAAGTCGAGCGGATTGCTGTATGTGCTGACTGTCCATCCCTCGTCAGTTTTTGTTTATAAACGCTAGGTATTTTTTTTTTTATAATTCCTTCAAATGGACGAAATCCTGTTTCCCACACAGCAAAAGAGCAATTCTCTCAGCGACAGCGACGATGTAGATCTCAAGTTCTTCAACACAGCCTCCGGTGAGCGCAAAGACAGCGACACTGCCTCAGACACCGCCAATGAAGGGGACCGCGATGCCAAAGACGGCGACATGGATACGAAAAACCCAGACGGCGATGGCGACTCCGGAGAGCCGGCCCTTAAGAAGCTAAAGACCAAGAAGGAGCTGGAGGAGGAGGAACGCGAGCGAATGCAGTGAGTAGCATGTTGATATCAAGATGATGTACCCCCAAAATGGCTCCTTTCTTGCCCAGAGTTCTTGTTTCCAACTTCACGGAGGAGCAACTGGATCGCTATGAGATGTACCGTCGCTCAGCCTTCCCCAAAGCAGCCGTCAAACGGCTGATGCAGACGATAACCGGCTGTTCCGTCTCCCAGAACGTCGTCATAGCCATGTCCGGCATCGCCAAGGTCTTTGTGGGCGAAGTGGTGGAGGAGGCGCTCGACGTGATGGAGGCCCAGGGCGAGTCGGGCGCCCTGCAGCCCAAGTTCATCCGCGAGGCAGTGCGTCGGCTGCGCACCAAGAACCGCATGCCCATAGGACGCTACCAGCAGCCCTATTTCAGATTAAATTGATCCCCAAAACCGTGTCGAGTGTGGAATATAGTGCATAAGGTAGAATAATATCGGTTACAAAAGCATCTTTATTGAGTGTTGTGTCTAATCTACAAAGTCCTATGCTAATCCATCCGCCGGGCCTCGGCCTGCATGGTCTGGAGCACGATGTGGGGGACCAGGTGCGTGGAGGCGTAGTTAAGGGGCACCGTGGCCAGCGGCGCCGTGCCATCGGAGGGGAAGTTCAGCTCCTGGGCCATGGGCATGTCCTTGTCGATCACGTCCTGGGCAATCAAAGTCTTTGTCTCCTCGTACTCCATGCCAGCCTCGGGCTTGGCGCCCATCAGCAGCTTGCCCCGCTGCACGCCCATGTACTGGGTGGCCTTGGCGTTCAGCGGCAGCTGGCCGCAGGTGTCGGCGTGCACCTTGCGGTGGGCCTGCAGGTTGGAGATGCACGTGAAGCGCTTGCCGCAGTTGTTGCACAGGAAGCGCTTGATGCCCGTATGCACCGTCATGTGGGTGAGCAGGCTCTCCCTGTAGGGGTACTCCTTGGGGCAGAGGTGGCATTTGTACGGCTTGTACTCCGTGTGCCTCGTCTTCAGATGCGACTTGTACTGGGCCTTAACCTTAAACGTCTTCCCGCACTTGTCGCACTGGTAGGGCGTCTCCGACTGGTGGAGCAGCAGGTGCGTCTTGAGGATGCCCGCCGTGGAGAGCCGCTTGCCGCAGACGCTGCACTGGTAGAGTGGCAGCCGTCCACAGTCGGAGCGCACGTGGTCCGAGAGGGAGGTGCGGCCCGTGAACTTCTTGCCGCATTTGTCGCAGATGAGGTTGCGGGGCAGGTTGCGCGGCTCCTTCTTCGAGTGGAAGTTCTTCTCGTGGTTCTTGAGGCTGTCGTGGCCGGTCATGTACTTGTCGCACTTCTCGCAGTACAGCAGCTCCTTGTGCTGCTGGTGGGCGTGCTCCGTCGCCAGCTCCTTGCTGGCGAAGAACAGATTGCAGTAGCAGGGACACTTGAAGATCAGACTACCATCCTCCCCATGGACCTTTAGGTGCGTCTCGAGGCGCTTTTCCACAAGATAGATCTTGCTGCAGATGGGGCACTTGAACACCTCCTCGTCCAGCTTCGCATGGACGTCAACGTCCTTGAAGATGTCCTTGATATCCTGCTCGGTGAGCTTGTGGTCGTCCCGCAGATGCTTCTCGTAGGGCTTGCGTATGTGGTAGATCTTGACACAGTGCGGACACTTCCAGGTCTTCTCCATCTTGTTGATCATCTTCAGCCGCTCCTTCAGTTCTTTTTTGGTGATCTTGGACACACGCTTCGGTGTGCTCGGCGCCTCCTCGGGTGTGGGGGATCTGACGGTGCCTCGTTTGCGGTATTTCCGCTTGCCCGTCGAGTCCTTGGCCCGTTTTTTCTTCTCCTCGTAGTTGTGCCTCAGCGACAGGACATCTTCCTCTGTCTCCGCCGTCTCGGTCTGCTCTCCCAGCGGCACAGCCGCTATCTCGTCCAATATTCCGCCGCCATGCTCCACCTTGAGGCTCTCGAAGGGCTTCAGGCCATCGCCCTCGTCCGTGCTGAGCAGGACATCCAGCAGCTTGTCCTTCTCGCTGCTGAAAATGTCTGCGCTCTCCGTCTTCACAAACAGACTGGCGTCCTGGTACTCGAAATCCTCGTCGAAGGCCTCCACCTTGACCATGGCCGGGGCAGGCAGCTGGAACTGTGAGGCGTCCGCCTCATCGTCGCTGTTGTTTGGCTCAAAGTCGGGGCACTCGTCGCCAGAGTCCGAGGACTGCTGGTCGCTCATGTTCTCCTCCTTCAGCTGCGGCGGTGCCGGCACCGCCTTTGTCTTGATTCTGCTGGCCAGGGGAATGTCATCGTCGCTGTCCGATGCAGTCGCATCCTCCTCCTCGTCGGACGAGCCTGCCTTTAACTTTGTTCGTTGTCTGATGCGTTCCTTATCCTTCTTCTGATCCGAAGGGCCAGGACTGTGTTCAAGTTTTCCGCAGGTCTCTGGGCGACTGCGTCGATGCTTGGCGAGGTTGGAGGAGCAGGAGAAACGGGTGGAACAGCACTTGCACTCCACTGGGCGCACCCCGGCTGCAGCCGTGGATTCTTTAGTGGGAAGACTCTCCTGGAAAGGAAGCGCTTTTATTGTTTCATCCTTAAATTCGAATGGATTCTACTCACCTTGGGAGTCGTCTCATCAGGATCGATGGCTTGCTGGCACTTTGTCTTGCAGTGGCGCTTGTACGCCTCCAGATACTTGTAGTCTGTCCCGCACTTGTCGCACACAAATCTGTTCCGTTCGTCTTCCGCTGTGGAGGCATGCTCGGTCTTCACGTGCTGCGACAGTTCCTCCTCGTGGCAGTAGCGGACGTCGCACTGGCGGCACTGGAAGCCACCCGGCGGCTGGTGCTTCTTCACATGCTTCACATAGCCGGCCAGAGAGATCAGTGCCTTGTTGCATACGGGACAGTGGAGCTTGGGCACTCCGTCTGTGGTGATCTCCACCAGCATTTTCTGGGCTACTCCTCCGCTGCCGCTGGCTATCGGTTCTGCAGCTGTAGAATGGATTGCTTGATTAGTTTTTGAATATCAACCACTGAAAAGCCAAAAACTGAATTTCATCCCTGGTAGATTGAGGGGGAGGGTAGCGTGGGCGATGGATGGGAAGAAGGAACAGCGGATTGGAGGATTGGACGTTGACTTTTCGACCGGAAACCACCTACCCATTTCTTGGCTCTTCACTTCTCGATTGGAGTCTCCTTTCGGGTACACCCTCTCACAGACACCGCCGCCACCGCTTCTGCTGCTGCTGCTGCGGGGGTCAGACCCTCTCGTCGTCACTGGCTTGGGCTACACTCAAATATCTCCAAAGGATGCTATCCTGCTGCATTTTACCGCACACTGAATCGGGGGCTCTTATTGTTTGTTGCTGTTTCGCGGGTCAGCACTGGGAAAAAAATTAACACCTTGCAAGTACACTTTAAAAAATGAAAATTTGTATATTTCAATGCTGGCGAGTAAATTATTTTTCTTTGTGCAGCCTGGGGTGGCAATGTAGCCCTGGTCGGAGCGTTCATGTCAATCAGTAGGGAACTAGTTCGTGAGCAGCACTCTCAGAAAGAGAGAGAGGGAGTGGCGGCAGGGCTGCATTAGCAGCAGTTTACCGCGAAAATTTGAAAGTTGAATTTGAAAGTGAAATTTGTATCTTGTAGCTATTAAAACTGAAATGGGAAAACGAAAATTCGGAAGCTTACGGTTATGCGGATATTTGATATGGGATTTTGTATTTCCGAGTACATATTTTTACTGGACTTAAGTACGGCACTCTGTGCAAAAAGAGGTGGCTTAATAGCAGCTACGAGTATACTATATATAGAATAGCCAACATGTAAACAACTCTGCAGAACATACGCCTACGTTTATCGCTATAATTAGATATGCGTACCATTGATGCGATTATATCCTCCAGTTTTCGTTCTGATTGAGTGTGACTCAGTGAACGGTTGCCCTTTACAGTCCGTGTACACGACACGACACGGATTCCGATTCCCAATCCACAAATCAGAACTCAGAGTTCCCCCATTCAAGCACGCCAAGGGCACTCTTTGATTTTCGGTGGGTGATTACATTCAGGAAATTTACACTCATGCAGTTTATTGGGCTCGAAGCCTGATTACAATTTAGTGCCGGCTATGACTATGACGAGCTATAGCCCTGCCGCTACCGCTACCGCCGAAAGTGACGTCAATCTGAACATTTGTGTGAATGAAATCGAATTGTGTTGGGTAGAAAAGAATGGGCGGCTTATTTGCATATATAAACAAGTACACGGATAGATGTATGGACGGTATGGGAAGGTCAATTTTGATGGAGTGCCTTTGAAGAAGATACTCGTACACAAATCAATTGAGGCTCGCCTGAAATCTGAATCGTCCCACACGTGCCTAGACCTGCTATTAAATTTCAATTATAATAATAATAACTGGTGAAACCCCAACATTTGGAATACAGAAACAGAACAGAGCCATTGCGTTAGTCATGCAAGGGATTTCCTCCCTACGCCATAGTGGTGGAGTTACAGTCCAGTCCGTTTATTGTGTTGGTTTATTATGCAAATTTGCATTAATTTTTCGTTTGCTGCACACGTGAGGGGCAACAACAGGCGATTCTGTTGCATTTGCAACTGTTGCTGCCTGCGTTTTGGGGCTTTCAAATTGCTTTCGAGCGCAAATCGTCGGCAAATGTCATTAAATATGCATATCGCACCGTGGGGTAAACACTGTACAATGTGGTGGGGTGTCTCCAGTGTGTCTATATGCAGATCCCTCCCTTTGCACCCCTGTCTGTAGCTCGTGTGTGTGTGTAGTTCTCCCTTGAGATTAGCGAGCAAGGACATTTTGGAATCTTTTGTTTTATAAATAGCCGCCTTTGATGGACAATTAAAAATGTATTCTGCTTTCGGCGTGGAGAGGCACAGGCACTGGCACAGGCCTATCAATAGATGAGAGATTGCACTGCAAGAAATGGGTTGAAACAAGAAACGAACACGTGATTCGCATCTTGGTCCCATTTTACCTTACGAGTTGTTAGCCTTAATAAATGTTATCCTGCCGCCCCTGTCCTGCCCAGCCCTCTGACATGTCTGAGCACTTTGTGCAAATTGTCAACGCTGCTGTTGCTGTTACTGTTGCTGCTTCGTCCTTCTACGCATGGGGCGGACAACAACAGGAGCCGCTGCCTCAGCTTCAGCCTCAGCCTTAGTCTGAGGAATGGCAACAGCACTGCCTGGGCAACAAAGGCTTCAGGTTATTGCATGCATTTTAATTAGTAGACAAGCCAAGTGGGCTGCCACTATATAGCGACAGGGACATACATACATACATATACTCGTATTGTAGGAGGCCCTAGCCTTACAGCAAGGCCTGCCAGAGTATATAGTATACGAATCGTATGCATGCTCAGGAAGAAGCATTGGATGAATTGCCTCTGCATCTGCCTCCGCCTCTGCCTCAGCCTCGGCGTGGGTGATGCCAAGAGTTCCAATGAGATACCAAATGGGAGATGAAAGGGGATCTGCATCTGCATCTGATTCTGATTATGATCCGAATGATATATGGATGGAATCGATTATTCAGAGATGAAAGAGTATCGAGCTGTCAGCAGATGACATCGATAGGACATCCTCTATCGTTCCATCCATCCTTCCTTCCTTCCTGCCGTCTGTCCAGGACACATACTAGATGCTGGGCATAAACAAATCTCGGCTCATCAGCGTCACAAACAAGACAATGATATATGGATTTTGGGGGAAGCCTTTGTCAATTCAAACTATTCTCGTGGATCCCCACATGCCCCATATCTCATGCCGTCCCCCGCCACAGTCGAAGAGCTGTAAGCGAGGACTTCAGCGCAGAGCTTCCTCTCAATCTATCATTCTGCCCTCGCTCTACCACCCCACCCACTCCGGCATCCTCCCCACCCCACCACCGTCACGTTCTGCGCTAGTTTCTTGTATTTATTTTTAAATTGTTTCACACACACAACCACAAGGAGAAACATACACTGGCCCCTCGTCCGTTCCTGTCCTCTCTCTCTCTCCCTCTCTCTCTTCTGGCACTCGCATCCTCCATGGAGGACGCCGGCGACGACGACAACTCATGTTTGCATTGGTGTGGTGAGTGTCCTGCCCTGTCTCTAGGCTGTGTGGGTGAGTTTGTCTATAAAAACGTAGAGAAAAAAGGAAATACTACAAGGAAGAACGTATAGACAATACAGGATACCCGCTAATTAGATATGAATATATGTATCTTAGAGATTGCACTTTGTTCGAGGGAAAAATTCAAGGGAATACCTAAAAAGATTCAACTGGGACTTCTATAAATTCTTCTTCTATAACTTCTAGCAGTTTGGTAGCTAGTGGTGTTGTCAGGGATTCTGCAAAATTAGAGCCTTGTATCTTCATAATTATTGCTGCTTGCAAAATTCATTCTCAGAGATACAGGGATTTCTACAGGGAAATGGCTGATGGGTTCGATGGTTGATCTTTCGAAAGCATATCGATTGGCCAGCCACGAATACCCCCTGTATTTCTTCATCGGCGATTAACGGGTATACAAACACACAACAACAACAAAAAATCTGTGTGGCTCTCGCATCTGTCAAGCAACCAAATACCCCACCACCACGCGTGTCCCTCCGCGACCCATCGTATGTGTGTGTGTGTGTGTGTGTGTGCCTCTCTCTCTCTCTTTCTCTCTCTAGCTTTGTGTGTGAGTGCGGGTTTGTATGTAAATGTCCTTGAGTGCTTGACGGATGACATTCATAAACGTCACTTCAATTACCTCCACGCGCCAACGCCATCGCCATCGCCAGCGACGATGCGGCACCATCCCTGGTCGCCAGACCCCCATTTTCTCCATTTCCCCATTTCCAAGAATATCCCCTTGGACTCCCCCCTACTGCCCGGCACCGGCACCCGACACCCGATACCCGACACCCGTTTACCGCGAAACTTGTGAAAAGTCAGTCAGCCAAAAATTAAAGCACTTTCCACTTTTCCGCTTTCAGCATTTCTTGTTCTTGTTGGATGGTGGCTGCAGAGTTTTGCTTTCTTTTATTTTCTCTCTATTTTGTTTATTTTATGCTTATGCAGCAAAACTATCTCTCAGATAAATTGATAAAGGTAACACCATGGCAACACCACGGATGGGGCTGCAGGAGCAGGCCAGGCCTCTCTGTCTAAGGAATGTCATCCTTGAAGACCCTCCAAGAGATGACTAAAGAAAGATCGTCAGCATTTAACATTTAACCCAACATAACATTGATGTTCAGGGATATTCTGGGCATTTTATCCCATAAGCGATTCCACTATTATAGCTGGGTTCTCCCCAAATAAGGGCTACGCTGGCCTTTTCCGACCTGATCTTGATTCATGGTCTGCCATTGATTTTCTCTCGACAGCCTCCAGAAGGGGGCGTGGGCTGGGGCGTAGGGTCTCGAAACATTTGCGGCATTCGTTTATGAGTGTGTGTGTGTGTGTGTGTCCTGCTGTATATTTGTGTTGGTGTGTGAGTGTTTGTTACGGTTTCCTTCACTTACACTTGTCCTTACAAATTTGTCCTTTTCTCAAATGTGAAAAGACGCATAATGTCCTTTTTACCCGACCTTCCTTCTTCCACTGTTTTATCCGCCTGTGCCCGCTGGTCGTTCTCCTCTTCCTCCTCCTCCGCCCTCGGCTCTTCCTCCTCCTCTTCTTGCCTGCGCTTCCTCCTCTTTTCTTTCTCGTCTCTTCTTTTTTCTTTTGTTGCTGCTGTTTTTGTGTATTTTATATTTCTTTTTGTTGACGACATTTTGTGTGTCGTTTATTTTGTGTGTGTTTCTCTTTCTTTTTCTTTTGCTTCTGCTTTTCTTTCGTTTTTGTTTTGTCCTTTCCCTCCCTCCACTCCTCCCCGTTACTCTCTGCTGACGTTGGCTGCTGTCATGCTGCTGCTGCTGCTGCTGCTGCTGGCGTTTGCCGCCCACATTTGCTACTTGTAAATTATTTGCATTAGTAGCCACTTGTGCTTTGTGCCGCATGTATTAGTATTAGAATGTATATGTATCTGTTTGTGTGCGTTTAGTTGCGGCTCAGCAGGGTATATTGAAAAGAGGGTGCGGCTTGCCAGGGAGCAGCCCAACAGCCTTCGGGGTACCCGCGAGCAGATGCTGGAGAGCACTCACACAGAGCCAAAGAGGGACACGAGGGCGGGCACTGCCTTACCCCACTATGAAATCTACCTTGCTTTTCGGCCCGAGGCAACTTTCAGCGGTCCTTCCTCCCCGTCCTTTTGGGGATGATTCCACTCAAAGTGGAACTTGACCCACTGTGCGTCGTGGCCCCCGCCGTGTGCGTGTTTGTTTAGACACACACACATACATGGATACGCACACACACACAATCGTAAGCTAATATACGCAAATATACATACATACATTTATTTGTATATTTTCGCATTGAAATTTCCATTTTTCTTTTCGTTGTTGCCGCTGCTGCTACGGCTGTTCCTTTGGCCTGTTCTTCCTCCTTCCTTCCTTCCTCTCCATCGTTCGGCATCGTCTCATTCTTTTTGTTCGTGTGTTGGCCTGGCCTGCACTTAAATTAACTGATTGCAACATTCTATACAGCTTTTTATGGGGGCTGCTGCTGCTGCCACTGCCGCTGCTGCTGCCACTGGAGGGAGGGGCTGGTTTGGCTGCCTTAGCCTTTTGCATAGTTTTTCGAGGGGTTGAACGATGGGTGGATGGACGGCCACATGGGAGTTCTCTCTTTTAAGTGGCTAGTAAATGTGGTTTCTCCGTATCGTCTCCGTGTCTCTCTGCTGCTGCTGCTGGTTCGGGCTGGGGTTTCTCTTTTAACGTGTGCTAAACATGTTATGCAGGATTGCGTGCTCACAACGTGGTGTATGCGCAATATTTACGTCTTTCTTGTGGCTGAAACTGAAATGCATTAAACCAGGCAGCAGGCAGCAAAAGTCAGGGCCAATTCTGCGATTGCTAATTGCGTATACGACATGTGTGCCCCCTTCCCCGAAATGATTAGCCGAAAGATTGGATCCCAAAGATACTTTTGCATACTTTGCGGCACCCCAGAGAATCCTCCTTCGTTTCGCTTGCGAGAGGGAGAGAGGCAGGAGGCAGGGGGCCGGGGCAGGCTTCTCTAGGAGCACGAGTATAAGCCCCAGAGGATTGAGTGGAATACTATGCCCATAATAGCCCCTGCAATCGATGGGCCTGAAAATAAATTCATTTGGACGGGGGAAGCTGCCGAACAAATGGCCAGAACAATTTACATAATCACTGAACATTCAGCGGCAGGCAGTCCCAAATATAGAAACCAAATGGGAACCGGAAATAGGAAGCGGAGCAGCAGAGCAGCAGAGCAGTCGAGCAGAATGAATGCCCCAACTGTGTTTTATTCGGACTCGTCCTTCGCCTGGCACCGATTTATCAAAGTTCATTGAAATTGTTTGTTTGTCCCCCAGCACCAGCAGCAGCAGCATTCCCTGTCCCTGCCCCGAAACCTCCAGCCTCAGTTCCAAACATGTCCTTGACAGGGTGGGGGGTAGTGGGTGGTGGCGAGAGTCGACCTTGCCGCTGTTTCTGCTGCCTTTGCTGCTGCTGCTGCTGCTGATGATGATGATGACTACGTCATTCATTAAAATTTTCGCCCAGTTATAAGTTTGGGCATTAAGCAGCATTGAGATGTCAAGCGAATTACAGAAGCCCCAAACAAATGCCATAAAAGCCATTCCCATTCTCCCGTTCCCCCGATCCCCAGGTTCACACTGTGCAAAACTTTTCCCTGTTTTTCTTTTTCTTTTTGCTTTCCTTTTCCTTTTTTCCATGGATTTGATTTATGGCCTCCCAAAGGGAGATGCAAACGTGAGGGGGAAAAGTGCTGCGGGAAATGTTTGTCTGTGGCTTGCCTCGTGTCACGTGCCCATCTCTCTGTGGCACATGAAAAGTCAATGCTCAGCCCTTGATTAATACTCATATTATATGGTTTATTAAGCAGATGCCCGCATGCCAAGCCCATCTGTTCATCTGCTCTATTGTTGTGGGGAACTCTTTTGTTCAGAGTTCGACTTGACGCCATCTCCTGCGGCCAGGATGGGATGTGCCACCTTCCACAAATTATAATTACAAATGATATATATTTTGGCAGTTTTATGATGCCTGCAAATAAATGATACTTGGTCGCAGAACCCGCAATGCCGAGCCCCTCTACTGATACTGATACGAGGCTTAGCCTCGTCTGGGAGTCTGTCTGTCTGTCTGTCTGTCCGTTTGGCTGGCAGCACAAAACAAACAGGTACAAAGTCCACCAACTCTCGGCCAGACAGAGAAAAAAAAGAGAGAAAACACCAGAGAAAACAAGAAAACAAACCTAAAAACCTGATGGTATTCCTCGTCAGGCGTCGAATCATCAATACCCTGTCACGGCTGAAGATAACAAGTGCCACGAAGTGGAGTCCCAGGTGCAAGCAAATACTGCAAAAAAACTGAACTTTGGAGTATGACCCGGAGCCAGATTCATCTCGTTCCCACGCGCAGGAGAGTATCACCGATCGCACCTACGCCAGCAGCGACTGGTCTAATCAGAGATCGCGTGAGCGGAGAACAGAGAGCGGACTCCGAGAGTGTCTGCAGTATAAAAGACAGGCGCGCACTCCGTCTGGTGTTAATTCATCCACGATCCGAACCGGTTACGAACGTCATTCAGAATGTGGCTGGCTGTTTTGGCTTTGTTGGCGCTGCCGCTGCTCGTTCTCGTGTACTTTGAACTGAGGGCCAGCCGTCGCAGGCGGATGCTCAAGGTATTCAATGGACCCGCTCCTGTGCCCGTGCTGGGCAACGCCAATCGCGTAGGCAACACTCCCGCAGGTTAGTCGTCATGATTCCAGAGGAATCAGCCCCCTAGCGAAGGGGGCTCGTCCATGCCCCGTCTAGACGATAGGGTCCGATAGTCGAAGAAGAGCACAATCAGCGGGTCTGGCGCTGTCTCTCGCTTTGTCTGTGATTAGACATGGTGAAAAACAAACGACAAAAGTGGGCTCGTGCCAAAGATCGCAATGACCTAATTCCGCTCTCGCTCTACCGTTCTCTCATTCTCGTGACTGCTCCGCAGAGATACTCGCGACGATATTCGACTGGTGGCAAGAGTACGGCAAGGACAACTTTGTCTTCTGGATAGGCTATACCCCGCACTTAGCCGTCACCAATCCGAAGTACTTGGAGTACATTCTGAACAGCCAGTCGCTGATCCAGAAGTCCACCATCTACGAGCTGCTGCATCCGTGGCTGGGCTACGGGCTGCTGACCAGCCATGGGAGCAAGTGGCACAAGCATCGCAAGATGATCACGCCCTCGTTCCACTTCAACATCCTGCAGGACTTCCACGAGGTGATGAACGAGAACTCCACCAAGTTCATCGCCCAATTGAGGCGCGATGCCGCCGGGGACAGCATCATCGACTTCCAGGACCACGCCCACTACCTCACGCTGGACGTGATCTGCGACACGGCCATGGGGGTGCCCATCAATGCGATGGAGCACCGCAACTCCGCCATTGTGCAGGCCTTCAAAGAGTGAGTGGTGTGCTGGGGCGACGTTGCTTCGAATCCCAAACTAATCCTCGGTCCCACAGCATGTGCCTCAGCGTCAACATGCGGGCCTTCCATCCGTTCAAGCGCTCCAACCGCATCTACAGCCTGTCGCCCGAGTATGCGGGCTACCAGCGGACGCTGAAGACGCTGCAGGACTTCACCTACGACATCATTGAGAAGCGTGTGGAGACGCTGCAGGCGGGACAGAATAGCTCTTCCTCGGACCCCTCCTCGCCGCGGAAGAAGATGGCCTTCCTGGACACGCTGCTCTCGTCGACCGTCGACGGGCGTCCACTGACACGCCAGGAGATCTACGAGGAGGTGTCCACCTTCATGTTCGAGGGCCACGACACCACCACCTCCGGAGTGGCCTTTGCCGGCTATCTCCTCTCCAGGCACCCAGAGGCCCAGGTATTTGAGCGGCCAACTCCTCCAGTATTCGTGCCGCTCGGCTAAAGACCTTTTTCGAACCGCAGCAAAAGATGTACCAGGAGCAGTGCAATGTCATGGGCAGCGAACTGGACAGGGACGCCACCTTCCAGGAGATAGCGCAGATGAAGTACCTCGACCTGTTCATCAAGGAGGCCCAGCGGGTGTACCCCAGTGTGCCCATGATTGGCCGCTATGCCGACAAGGACTACATGATCAGTAAGCGGACGCATGAAGCATCCTGCCAGAGGAACGCCCAATCGAAACTTGTCGTCTCCCTTTCCAGATGGCACGCTCGTGCCCAAGGGCACAACTATCAATCTGGCGCTCGTTTTGCTCGGCTACAACGATCGCATCTTCAAGGATCCCCACCACTTCCGCCCGGAGCGGTTCGAGGAGGAGAAGCCCGGCCCCTTCGAGTACGTGCCCTTCAGTGCCGGTCCGCGCAACTGCATCGGGCAGAAGTTCGCCCTCCTCGAGCTGAAGACCGTGATCTCAAAGCTTGTGCGCTCCTTCGAGGTGCTGCCCGCCGTCGACGAGCTCCTCTCCACCGATGGCCAGTTGAACACCTACCTGGGGCTGTCGCCCGCCGAGAAGCAGAGGCGGGAGGCGGGTCGACACAAATACGATCCCATTCTGTCCGCCGTGCTCACCCTCAAGTCTGATAATGGGCTCCATCTGCGCCTCAGAGAGCGACGACACTAGTTTGGCTCTAGGTTTACTATTCTATTTCTAGTTTCCCAATTACTGTATGGATAATATTACGACTTCGACTCTTTACTGGTTTGTTGTGTGCTTTATTATTCCTGGTATTCGTAGATTACCAAAGAGTCCTGAAATATGGAGTCCTAAAATAGTATCTTAATTTTCACTTTGCGTATATCTTGTGTCTGTCTCCTTCTGTGGATCTTATGAAACAATTCCCAACCAAATCGAATTCAGAATGTATGTCTGATTAAACGAACTGTTGGCGAAACAGTCTGCTGTTCAGATTCCTGATTATGTTCGCTATTTGCAGAGCTTTAGGAGTTCTACCCTAAGTTTTCCCAAACTATATATTTCTTATCAATAATACACTCAATCAAAGTCTTAGGTTTATTGTGCGCGTTGCTGGACTTTATTTTGAACGCAACATTTCATTTCTTTTTGAAAGACCACCCTACTCCAATATTTGCCATGGCCCCAGAGAGTCCAAGAATTACGAGTGCGCCCACACAAAAGATCTTCATTTTCGGCTTTCAAATGAGTTGTGTTCGCCGACTTCTGTGGCTTTTATTGATCCCAACAAAACACTTCCCTGATCGGATTGGCAATGGAGTTATTCGATTTTCACCTGTTAATCCGTGTCTAATATCCAGATAATAAATACCCGTGAAACTGTGGTGTTCTCTGGATAGTTTTCCGCTTTCGAAAGAGATAAATAGTACTCCACATACTCGTACATATCTTAAAGTCGGAATCCGAACTTGTTTCGCTCGCTCTCTCGCTTGTTTCCGTAAATATTTGATATGACAATGGGTGTGGGAATGGATGTGGATGTGGATCTGGGATTCGTGGGGTTGGGGCTTCGAGGCTTGGGAGTTGGGGGCGTTGGGGGTTGGCATTGTTGTGCGTAGAAATATCCGAGGTATGCGGCGTACCAAGCCGGGCATAATCAAAATACAATTGTGCGTGGAGTGGAGCGGAGTGTGCTTGTATGTGTATTTTTATCTATATCTGTATGTGTGTGTGTTGGGCGTTCGTGTGGGTGTGTGTGTGTGTGTGCTTTAGAGTGTTTGTAACGCATGCACAAACGTTTATTTCTTTCTTTCTTTTGGTGTTTGTTTGAAGAGGGGGGACGGAAGGAGACTACCTGGAGCACTACTAAGGCCAACAGAAGAGGGAGAGCCCAAACAGCTGCGCGCTCTCTCCCTGAGCCGAAAAGTATGCTATAAACTGGAAGCAACCTAAGAGAGAGCGAGCGAGCGAGAGAGCTAACCAAAGAAAGAGAGCGAGTCGGAGAATATGTTTGTCTGTTTGGGTTAATGCAAATATATGCGAACGGAAAGCATCGTAAATTAATTAATTATAAATCGAAGCAGCAAAAGATGGCACCAGCCAGGACACACGACACCGGAGAAGCAGGAGACACTACCAGGAGACGGCAGGCGACAGGAGCCGGGAGCCCATTAGTCGAGCCCGGAGCCGGAGTCTCCTCCCGATTCATTTGTGGAAGTAAGTCCGCTCTCTCTGTTGTCGTCGGCTGCTTCCGTCGGCTACCGCTCGGCTTTTGTAATCGTCTTCCAATGGCTTCGTGCCCAGTGGGCCTCCAGATTCGTGGTCGCCTGTCGGGGCCCTACAACGTTTTCGGGCGCTGCGCTGACAACATCCTCGCAGGACCAACGAGCGGACGGTGCGTCCAACGGGTCTCCTCCCCTATGTGTATGTGTGTGCAGAAACTGTTAACCGTGTGCCAGCCCGTGCTCGTGTCTGTGTGACTGTGTCCGTGTCCGTGTCCGTGTGAGGTGTTGGAAAATTTATTGCAGTTTGAAATCAAAGGAAAAACTTAAGCCAAACCAAAGCAAGCCCCAAATCGGATTCACTCGTAGCACAAATCCTGGAATAATCGGGGCGCATACTATATATATTGCCTTTTTTGGAAAATCAGAAACATGCTGGGAAAGCCCTATTCAAAGCCAATTTTTATATAATCAAGCAATAAAAAGCCGCAGAACGGCTGCAAGGGTGGTGCACGGGCACAGGCACGGGCAGGGGCAGGGGCACGGGCATGGGCACGGGCACGGGCAAAGCGCTTTTCGGTCGTCTGTGTGAGTGCAAAAACGTTAATGGCAGGCAGCCTACGTTTGTGTCCTGTGCCCGTGCCCGTGCCCGTGCCTGTGCCTGTGTGTAACTGTGTGTGTGTCTTGTGTGTATGTGCGCGTTCTCGTGCTTGAGGCCTTTTTCATAAAGAGGTCAAAACGTTGCTTTCTGCTCTGGCTGTGTGCAAAAGTTCTGCTTTCTGCCATGCTTGTTTCTATTTCTTTTTCTCGTTTCGGGCTAGTCAAGAAGAAAATTTAACAGTCAGACATTCCGCAGGGCCTCGAGCCGCAACTGAGTCCGTTACCGTATCCGACCCCGTTCTTAAAGTGGCACCGCCCCGCCCCTTTAAAGTTTCCCCAAGCAAATGATATAACAATTAGCGAGGCGGAACCCAAAGCATGTTCTTAGAGTTCTTTGAGTTTCTTCTAGCCAACGAATCGTACAGTCAGGGAGATCTTTGTGGGGGCTTCTGTGGCATACTTTTGGGGCAAGCTATCGATGAGGGAAAATTACATAAATAAGGCGTTGCTTTCTGAGGATAATACATATATGGAATTAAGATCTGTTAGATTTTTTCTTCAACTGTTTATTTTTTTTGATTTTATATCAAGATTGGACACTTGTAAAAAATATATACTACAATCAATTGAAGGAAGACTAAAGTTTACGTTTCTGAGATTTATTCTCATAAAAATAGTGTACGAAATAGCAGGTTTAAGAATTTTAAATAATTTCCTAAAGAATGGTAAAAAAAAAAAATAAAATCCTTAGGTTTCCCAAAAGCTAAAATTCCAATGTTTGACACACACTAAATTATGTAAATCCACGCGTTGGCGTTTGATTAATGCTCGGATCCTGAGAATGCATGAAAAGGGAACTATTTGGCAGCCATCACCCCCACCCAACGACTAAGAACCAAAGAAGCCAAAAAGTTCTCGAGTTTCTCAGAAGAAACTGTGGTAGACATCATATCCTAAAAAGACTGGTGGGGCTTTTCCATCAGTCTGATGAGGCAATTATGTAAAGAAAGCGAACAAAATGTTACGCAATTTGCTAAAAAAAACAACAACAACAAAAAAAAAGGAAAACAAAAAACCACGAGGGAAAAACATAATTAATAACAATGCCACACGGTTGAATTCTTGGCTAAAACTCTGGGCCATGGCTAAAAATAAAGGCATAGATAGGATGAGAGACAGGAGATTAGGCGGGGGATGAAGGAGGAGAGAAGGGGAGAAGGAGGAGTAGGGGAAGGTCTAGGAACAGCGGGAAGCTACTCAAAGCATAACAATGAACATAACCGCACATTGGGCCAGGCAGGGACCGTAAAAAACGATGGGAAGGCGCAGTCATTTGTGGGTGTGGGCCCCACAGCGTAGGGCTGTCTCTGTGTCTCTGTGGGTCTGTGGGCCAGGCGAGTCACCTACTAAACCCAAAATGAAAGTAAAAATTGTAAGCGTAAGCTAAAACAACAAACACAGCAGAAAACGAAAGCAAAACGAAAGCGATAGGCGAAGAAGGCGGAGAAAGGAGAGGCAAAGCCAAAGGCAAAGGCAGAGGCAAAGGCAGAAGCGTAAGCAGCGATAAGGCCTCGCAGATAAGCGGCATAGGCGGGAGAGAGAAAGTGTTTGCTTGGAAATCAGCAAAGAGAAACTACCAACGAATATCCCTAAAAGTTCTCTCTTTTGTTCTCTCTCTCCCTTTCTCTGGCAGGCAGTCATCTATAGAGCGAACATTGAAAATGTAAACAAAAGCAACGCAGGCGCAGCAGCAGCAGCAGCAGAAGCAGCATCAGCTCTCCCATTCTTTTGCCATAAAAGAGAGAGGAAGCAGCAGCAGCGGAGGCAGAGACTGGATGAACTTCCAGGCTCGTGTCCGCGTATCCTTCGTCGGTTTTCCAGCGGCCAGGCTGCCTCAGAACGTTAGCAGAGTGCAAACCGTGCTGTCGTCCAGCTCCGGCTCCGGCACCAGGCACCAGCAGCAGCTCCCGCCACAACGGCTACAACGGCTACAGAACTCAGGGAAACTTTTCCACACTCACACACACACACAGAGACACACGGTCACAGTCACACACACACATAGAAAGGACACAGGGGAAGAGGAAGCGACAGCGGAATAGCCCCAGACAAATGGCCAGAACAGCGAGCAACGGAGCAGCGGGCCAGGCCAACCCGTGACTATAAACGGGATACGCGAACAGAGGAGCAACAAAGAGTGTAGCAGAAGAAAAGAGTGGAGGAGACGTAGACGGAGAAGGTGGAGAAAGGAAAATCGCGCCTGCTGGAAATGGAAGGAGAAATGCTGCGGCTTCTAATGTCCACGCCAGCAGCGGAAGTAGCAGCCACAGCAGCAGAAGCAGCAGCAGCAGCAGCGGAAGGAGCAGCAGCAGGAGCAGGAGCGGCAGTGGCAACATCGCCCACGTCGCACTCCTCATAATTTCGAGTCCCGCTCTCGCTGTACCCCCCCGTCTAAAATCTGTATGTCTGTCCCACGTCTCACGCTCTCACAGTCTGTTTCGTGTTAATTGTTATTTATGTATAGTGTGTTGTATATATAAAAGTTTGTGTGATAACAAAAGGGAGATCGAGCATCGCGGAGATCCCGATACCGATCCCGATTCCGATCCGAGTCCCGAAGATACCCCGATATCCAATAAGCGACTAAGCGAGAGATAAACTCCAACACTTTAGTCGAGAATCAAAAGCGTACAACGAGAACAAACATACAGAAGGTTTTGCCAGCAGAAACAGCAACCAACAAAACAAAATACCAAAAACCAAACAACACTCCAACGGGTCCAATGTTGCAGCCAACAACATGCAGCAAACAGCAACAGCAGAGGCAGCAATCAGAACATACAGCAGCAGTGGCAGCAGAACATGCGGTAGCAACAGCAGTAGCAGCAGCAGCAGCAGAGGGAACAGAAGCAGCCGATCAGCAGGAGCGGCAGCCGATAGCTAAAGATCATGGAGCCCTAG